TGCTCAAGCAGGGGACATTTGTCATCTTGCAGATGGAGTCAGGTCAGCACCACGCAGAAGCAATGGGTGGCCTCTGCGTCTCCCACGGGTCACCCGGCCAGGGTCTCCCAGAGAAAGGCTTGCTCACCTGCCTGCACCTCCCTGTCCTCGTTTACTCAACCTGCACCACCGTTTTCCCCTTCCCACCTCCGCCGCGCAGGACCACCCTGCCATCGACGTGGTGTTCTGGGTGGGGCTGGCACTGTGGCTGGCGCTGTCCTTGGTCCCGCTACACACCCTGGTCCCACGCTGGCTGGAGGGAAAGCGGTGCGCAGAGGGGGCATCGGACGGCGTGGGCCCCGGCGCCGGCGCCAACAGCCCCACTGCGGTCGGCATGCGATACAGCGCCGTGCTCGGTGGGGGCCAGCGAGGGGGGGTGGAGGACACCTACATCCCTGCCATCCCCGCGGCCTGCCCGCCGGACTTCACCCGCACCCTGCAGGCCCTGTTCCGGCCAGAGGGGTATGGGGCGGCAGACCAAGGCCTCGTCCTTGCCCCGTTGGCGCCCTCCCCTGGGCGACCAGCCGGGCCTGGGCCCAACATGGGTGGAAGGGGGCCACTGCCGACGTCAGGCTCCTTCAGGTCGCCAGGGAGACAGGAACCGAGGGGTGGTGCCGCCCTGCCCTACACTCATCCGGCCCTGCATACCCACGCTGAGGAAGCCGAAGGAGAGGAGGATATGCAGGGCGTTGGGATGCCTTCAGAGGATACCAGGCCTCCGGGCAGCAGCTCCCCGAATCTCTTGACCCCCCGCGGCTCGGTGCTGCTGCAGTCACAGAGCTGGTTATGGGAGCCCTCCACCACGGCGTCCGCCATCTTCAGGATGGGTGGGGCGGGACGGGTGCACTCCACGCCGGTGACAGGGGTGCAGCCACCCTTTCCCCACCCCAGTCCTGCAAGGGGCCCCTTGGGCATGGCTGCGTCACGCACTCGTCTTTTCTCTGAGACCGACCTGCCCTGATAAAGGTACCCCTTTCTCGCAAGCCTCTTGATAACCTTGTGTGCCCGCCACTCATGATCCTTGCGACTCATATTGTGTTCGGACGCGGTGTCAAGCCATGCACCTCCCCTTGAGATGTGAGATTCCCTACTTCCCCTGCCCACGAGTTAGTTCTCCTGTCTCTCGCCATGTGCACAGTCACTGCTTCCCGGCCAAAGCCAAACGCAGAGCGCTCAAAAGAGGGGGAATGTGGCGGGGAAGGAGATCTCCAGGCGGGCCTTGGCTGCAGCCTCCCAGTGACTCCAGCCCAGCTGCTTCAGCAGCTTCACACGCGTCTCCAGCATGCCCTTGTGCTTGGATGCAAGCTTGTCGTCCGCCAGAGCCTTGTCTAGCGCCCTGTATGCCAGTGCTAGCTGTCCCTTGCGGGCGAGGCGCTGGGCGTTCAGGTTGGCGTGAGTCCCCTCGGCGGAGGTGTCCACCCACTTCTGGAGCTCGACAAAGGCCGCCTCAAACTCATCGGTCTCGGTCTCCGCGGGCTGAATGAGGCAAGTGCATGGAAGAGGAGGAATGGAGATCAGCATGTGGACTCCATTATGTGCAGACACTGAAGATGCTTTATTAGGCAGAGCCCATGACAAGCTGTGATCAGAGCAGAGCGATGCAGGGCAAGGCAGTGCTGCAGCTCCATGCCACACGGGAACAGAAGGCAGAAAGCTGCAGGGTCACACCCTTGATCACCATACTCACCACCTCAGGATACTTGGTGAGGAGAGCGGATGCCTTGGATGCCAAGGCTTGAATGATGGCATCCCTCTGCAGCTCAAAGTCTGTGCGGTGGTGCCAAAGCACACGGGAAGTTGGGGCAGCACGATGTCTACAACGAACACACTGCAACGGATATCATTCAAAATTGCCTGGCAATGCAAAGTATGACACATCCAAAGCATGTGTTGTTTGATGCGACCCTCTCGAGAGGCACAAGGGTGAGCTCGCGCTTACCTTTCTTGCGGCTGTCTTTGTCTGGACCTGTCTCAGGCGACTTCTGTGCGAGATACACTGCCAATTTGGTGGTGTCAATTGCTGCAATCACTGCATCAGCAGCGGCAACCCGATCCTGTCGTAGGGATATTGGGAGTGAAGTCTTGGGCACTGATAAAAGAAGCACTTGGTCCTAACATGTAAGGGCCTGGCCTGGGGCAGGCAGTCCCACACCATCCAAAGCATGTGCTGTTTGATGCGACCCTGTCGAGAGGCACAAGAGTGAGCTCGCGCTTACCTTTCTTGCGGCTGTCTTTGTCTGGACCTGTCTCAGGCGACTTCTGTGCAAGATACACTGCCAATTTGGTGGTGTCAATTGCTGCAATCACTGCATCAGCAGCAGCAACCCGATCCTATCGTAGGGATATTGGGAGTGAAGTCTTGGGCACTGATAAAAGAAGCACTTGGTCCTGACATGTATGGGCCTGGCCTGGGGCAGGCAGTCCCACACTTACCATGTGCCCAACCATGCTCCGTAAGCATGCACCCTCTCCTCACCTCGACCAGGCTGTCCTTGTCAGACCTGGCATCCAATCGCGTGAGACGCTCGGTGAGGAGGGGCAGGTGTCCCTTGTTGGCTTCAAAGACTCTGTCCCACAGACGTTGGTAGGTTGATCGCTCCTCCTCGCTCCCATCCTTGAGGTCCTGTGTTGTTGTGAGAAGCTAAGGTTGCTATTGGGAGGGGGAGCTATCAATGAAGTGGAATGGCCTGCATGTTGTCACACATACTCCACAGTCATCGTGTTGAACATCCCGCCCAACCCAGCCTCCTTTGCCAAACAACACCAACAGCCAGTTGCACGCCTTGAGGAAGGCCACCTGGGCCGCCAGCACCGCCTTTTCCAGGTCGGCATCCACATCAGCAGCGTCTTTTTTCCCATTGCCGTTCTCCGGCGCGTTGCCCTTGCCCTTGTCAACGTCGCTCTTTGGGGGCGGCACGACAAAGGACAGGGCCAGCGTGTCTGGGCTCTCCTTGCCCGGGGACGAAGCCAGTGTACCCAGGGACACCGAGCCCGACAGAATGCGCCCGGCCGTGGCATCCTTGGGCAGCTTGTCCTCGGCGGGGTTGCCCAGGAAGAGGGCCACGCTGGACCCTGCATGGTCGTTGTGAGCAGGAAGAGGCTGAAATGTGCGAGGATTGCCTTGTTGCTCCAGTGCATCCCTGAAGGAAATTCAGGCCACCGAACAAGCGAGCCAGGTTGCATCGGACGCTGCAAGACAGAGCATGCACCAGGAGGGTCTGAAAGATTGCATGTGAAGGTAGATCCAGATCCTGCAATGGAAAGAGGCACCTTCCAGAGAGTTGGTCACACCACCCACCATGCACGAGGCTGAGCTCCTTGGCAGCTGCGCCACCGGTCACGCACGCGGCCTGGCTGGTGTAGACCGGCACGCAGATGCTGGGATCCAGCTTCCTCTCAGCCACCAAGGGCAGGTCCTGTGACTCGGGTCGCCATGCATGGTGGGAGCTCCGGGTGGGGGTCTCAAGCACGGTCATACACTGGACTTGTGACAGGAGCCAGCCCACATGCATGCAGTGCATCCTGTTGCAGGTCAACTCCAACTACAGCCGCCGGAAACCCTGGAACCCACCTTGAATTTCTGCAGCAGGTCAGCATCAGTGTGCCGCAGCGCCACGCGAATGGCGAATGTCCCCGCCCCGAGCTTGATTCCCTGCGGCAGGTTGATTGGGCGGGATGACTACTTTCAGCGGCAGCGTTGTGAGGATAATCCGAGGAGCTGCCCGACAGCCGTCCGCTCTACCCAGGGAGCACCCCTCCTCCACTCCACAGCCCTCGCTGGGAGAGTGAGGCCGCAGACAGACTCCCCCTCCCCTGTCACAGACCCCTTCCCACCGAGCCCCGGTGCCCCTGCCCAGGCCCACCTCGGGGTAGATGTCACCCCAGCCCAGGACCTTCTTGTTGGCGTCGGTGACCACGTGCATCTGCCCGTCCAGGATGCCATCGTACACCAGCCTGTTCAGGCGTGGAAAGCGCGGCGTCACAGTCCCGCCCTCGACCAGGGTCAGGCTGTAGGTCAGCGTGAGCTGGTGCGTCAGGCGGGAGCGAGGCAGCGCGTCGCGAGGAGCGGAGAGCGGCGCCAGCTCTGCAGCCGTCGGGCACAGGGGAATGCACAGCGTGGTCAGGCTTGCCTGTGATGTGTGTGTGGGGTGATCGGGGAAGGTTATCAATGAGATGATTCCTGGAAACAGGGTGGGGAGGCTGCAGAGCGCCATCGCCACAGAGGTGACACACATTCCGTTGCAGGTGGACATCGTTTGCCAGCATGCCCATCCCTCTGCAGCCCGACATCCAGCACGGCCAGGGCACCCGGCCACACACAGAACCCTGCCGGCATGCACAACACACCTTGGGCTGGATGCGTTCGGGCCCCAGAGGTGCACGGACCGTCAGCCTTGCAATTCCGGCCGCGCCGTTCAGGAGCAGGCCCTTGGCTGGTGTGGTGGCTGTCACGCCGTGGAAGGTTAATGACAGCCGCAGCACACAGCTCCCCAGACTGAGTGGTGGGAGGGTGCAGTGTCAGGCGCGTGGGGAGCCTTGCACAGGGGGTCTTTACTATCCACCGTGCCCACCTTAGGCCCCCTCCCTACCATCCCACCCTATCACCCCCCCACACACAAACACCTGTTCCACATTTGGGCAACGGTGAGCTCCAGCGGGGTTCCCGCGCTGACGGCAAAGGCTGCCTCCACCTTGCCGCCGTCGGCCAGCTGGACCGACTTGGCCCACTCAGTGTCCGAGAACCGCGTGTGAGGGGCAAGCTGGGTGGCCCTGAGCATCAGCGTCTGGGCGGGAGGGGGGATTAAAGAGTGGGGTTGAAACTGCCTGCATGTGGCTTGCCGCCAAATGGATCCTCATCAAGCTCCCACCCAGGTAAGCTCTGCGCTCTGCACAGCAAACCGCGCCTGCACGCCCGACAGGCACAGGGCCACGCAGAACAGTGAGGTTTTCATTGTCGGCAGCACCAGCATCACCACCCACCTTGGGCGTCTCCATGGAAGCGGTGAGGCGCAGCTCCGCCCAGGTGGCCCCCTCTGGGACGTCCAGGAAGCGCCTGGCCTCGATCCCCGCGGCAAACATAAGCGTCTCTGTTGGGGAGGGGGCAGACATGAGCACCTAAGCACCACTCAAGGCGAACGCAGGCTGTGGAATTCAGGGCGCGGGGCACTAGCCACCTCGGGCAGTGCAGCAGCTGCGACTTTTGGGTTTGCCGCGATGGCCGTACAGGGATATGGGAGGGTACTTCCCAGCCCACCTCTCCTCAGATCTCACACAGCTCCTACTCCATCACAAACGCCAGGCCAGCCAAACCCAAAACACCACCATCCCCTTCCCACCGTCAAAGGTGTGGGGCCGCTGCAGCTCAGCGTGGCCCTCGCCCTCGATCTCCACGTCCGCCCCCGGCTGGCTGCCGCCGGCCGTCACGGGCGTGGGAACCGCCACGGTGATGGGGATGGTGAACAGAGTCCCCGCGCCGGGGTCGCTGGTGTCGGTCCCCCTGATCTCGGTGTGGTGCAGCCCCGGCTCCAGGCTCCGCGGGTCCACCTGGATCTCGAAGCTGCGCCCTGTGGCGTACAGGAGCAGGTGCTTGGGGTGGCTGACGAAGGACGAGCGCTCCGAAGAAAGCTCGGCGCGGACCTCCATGTCCAGCCTCGCTGCCACCTCCTCGGGCTTGAACCAGGGCTTGACCGTCACCCTGCATGGTTGGGGGTGGGGTGGGATTGATGGGACCGGGAAGCGGGGGCTGGGTGCGGGGTCGTGGTGTGATTCCACCGTGCGCCTGAGTCTCCCCTCGCAACCCCTCCCGCTCCCGCTTACTGGTGGGTGGAGGTCACCGCCGTCTCCTGCCCCGTCCGCAGGAAGACGCCACGCTTTCCACCCCCCGCCGCCGCGCCCGCGTCGGTGCGCTGCAGCGTGACCTGCCAGGGCTGCGAGGCCGCCGGGCTGCAGGGTGCGAGGAGGAAAGCGTGGGCGTCGGCCACCTGGATGAGGCCCGCGCCCTGGCTCAGCACGCTGTCGGCGTCCCAGCTCGTCCGCAGGCAGGTGGCCTCCAGCCCGCGGCGCAGGCGGGCTGGGCTGGGCCGCACGCCCTGCGCCTTGAGGCCCGACAGGACCAGCGCGATGGCGCCCGCCGCGCAGGGCGAGGCCATGCTGGTCCCGTTCATGAGCTGACGGCGCTGGCGCGTCCAACGCGGGACAGGGGCCACGGCGCCGCCGGGGGCGCACAGCGCGACGCCCACGTCGCCGTCGGGCGCGGGGCCGCGGCTGGACCAGTTGTACTGCTGGCCGTCCCGCAGCGGCTCGCGCAGCGCGTGCCCCGCGGCGGCCATCTCTGGCGCGACCCAGGCGCCCACGCCCAGGATCGCGGAGCTCGTGCCCCCCGGGGCGCCCACCGTGCACAGGGCGGGGCCGCTGTTGCCAGCGCTGGAGACAAAGACCACGCCGTGTTCGTGCACCACCTCCTCCGCCAGCTCGATGAAGCGGCCTTGGGAGGGAGGGGGGTGCGGAGGGTGGGGTAAGATATTGATCATGACCCGCTGGCGCGGGAGCTCCGAGCTTGAGTGGTGAACGCAGGACACGGCAGGCGCTGGCCCGCACTGCTCCGCTCAGGCGGGATGCGGCTGGGGCGGACATGATACCCAGAAGACAAGACTCGTGGTTGCCCCCGGCAGGCACTGCACTCACGGGCTTCATGATGAGTGCGGGCTACCCTGCACCTCTGGGTCACTGCTGAACCGTCGGATATCCACAATCCAGCCCTACTTTCCCCTCCAGAACCTCGACTCCACCCCATCCAAAAGCCCCACCGCTGTTGGGCGTGGCCGTGCTCTCCCCATAGCTCATGTTGATGATGTCGGCCTTGTGCTGAATGACGGCGGCCAGGGCCCTGTACAGCCCCGGCGCCGTCTCCATGGACCCCAGCCGCGTGTCGCCGATCTTGCAGGAGATGAGCTGCGCGCCGGGGGCCACGCCGGAGAGGTGGGGCGCTGCCGCATCGTAGGCGGCGGTGATGCCGGCCACGTGTGTGCCGTGGCTCCCGGCATCCACCACGATGGACAGGATGTTGCCGCCGTCGTAGATGTTGACGGCAAAGTTGCATGCGTCGGACGGCGAGAATGCCGTGTACTGCGCAGGCCGGAGCAGCAGAGGCGAATGTCAATAGAAGAGGGGTTGGCGTACGATCGGTGAGGGAGAGCCTTGCTGCAAATAAATCTACAGTCGGGGTGCAATACAGAAGGGAGGGAGTGCAGGTTTCTGCACTCCATTCACCAGATCTGCACAATTGCCCCTCCTTCGAGCCTGCACCCCGAGCAGGCCAGGCAGGCAGGCCCACCTCCCCCCAGCTCTCCTCAGCTGCAGCAGACCTGGCGCCTGGCTTTAAAGTCGGTCATGGGCTTGAAGTCGGCCAGAGCGCCGCGGGCGGGGCCACGCAGCTCCGTCAGATCCAGCGCAGCCCACCACACCGAGCTGGCATCCTGCCAGACCACGGCATCCAGCACCGGGCCCTCGTCCTCGGCCTTCTCGGCAAACTCGGAGAGCAGCGCCACGCGTGCCTCCAGCTCCTCCCTTTCCTCTTTGGTGACCTTGGGAGTCCCCTGAGTCGATAGCTGCAGCATGGGCGGACGTAGGAGGGCTTGAGGGGTAAGAAGGGCAGTACAGGAGCGTTGAGCACAGTGCGCGGCATGGAAGTGCATTGTGGTCTGACAGCGAGCATTGGCCTGGTTTGGGTCAGGTGATCTAGTAACGGGCACAGGACAAGGAATCGGTGTGCAGGATGGACCCAGGAGCAAGCACCACTGAGCAGGAACCTTGGTGACCAACGACATGTCTTGGAAATGGACAGACTCGCATACGACACCACAACAGGGACAACCCTCTCCTTCAGTCAAACATCAAACATTCCTCGCAGGACACAGGCAACACCCCAGCACACCTTGGCAACCTCCGCGGTGGCTTTGGCCAGCAGATCCCTCTGCTCCTGCATCCACACCCGCCGCCTGTCGGCCCGGATGGAGTCTGCAAGGCCCTTGGGGACAAGATCAAAGAGGCGCTTGCTGCCCACGTGCCACTTCCCGCTGGGGTTGTCCCAGGCGGGGTTGAGGCGCAGCGCGCTGCCTCGCACCCCCTGGATGGTGTAGTCTGCTGCCGCTGTGACCAGGGTGGAGGTGTCCACGTCCCCACTCCCAGTGCAGTCCAGGACGTCGATGATCTTGGGCCTGCCGTTGGGCGTGGTCTGCAGCGCAGCAGCGCCGGGGTCGATCCCAGTGTCCAGAATCGCGACGACGATGCCGCGGCCATCGAACTCAGGGTGCTCCTGCGTGAGATTTGTGGTGCAGGGAGATGCTGCGTGGCCTGGTCTCTGCAGACAATGCATGGGGCGGCTCGGATGTTCAGCGATGCTCCTTGCTGGACCAGGGGAAGGCACCATGGGCTGGCACTGCATGCAGAGAGCCTCACGCCACGACCTCACATCCCTCAAAGACGAAACCCCTGAGCTTCAAACCTTGAGGAAGGCATCTGCTTGGATGTCCTTCTTCGGCATGGCCCCGGCGAAGGGATCGGGGGGGCCTTCCCTCTCCTCCTCCAATAGCTGATCTCCCAGGGTGATCTCATTCATATCAGACACGACGACAGCAGCTTGACGCCCAGTATCTGAATCCATGTTACTGATTCTTTGTCCTTGAACTGACGAGGCTGCCCGTGCAGGGAGCTGCGAGCAGGCCCTGCCACCCACCGTGCGACCGACGCTGGGCCGGGAGGGCACACACCTATGAGCCTGTTGAACGGCGAACCTTGCTGTCATACGAACCAGGAATGTGTTTGTGAGGGTCCTCACGCCTTCTGATTCCAAGTTCCTCGTCCCGTCCCGTCGAGGTGGTGCACCTCATGTTCATGGGCCGGGTGAAATGCATGCGACGCTCCGGGCGCGCTCCGACACCGATGCAACTCACTGCGAGCCCCGACCTAGCCGCGGATCGACGGAACCCCAGCTTACAGTATGCTCAAAAACAGGTTGCCAATTACGAGCATACCCCCTCATCGACCTCAGTACGCTTCTGGGTGCTGACGGTCTGAGATGGAGGAGGCCTCCGGCCCCGCGGCCCCGGCAGTCCCCGAGCCAATCAGGTTCAGCCCCAAGAAGGATGGCCTGCCCAAGACCTTCACCTACACCTTGGAGAAACGTGTATCTGGGATCGTGGTGGATGGGCGCGATGAGGCTGCCATGCCCAGCCCCCGTTGCGGGAGCATGCCGCCCCTGGTGGACCCAGAGGACTTTGGGGCTCCGGTGCGCGGGGTAGAGGGGGACCATGCGCGCTGATGGGTTGGTCAGAGGTTGCATTTCGATCAAGCTCAGCTGAAGGAATTGCACACATCGGCAGGGACTGTCCTTTAGGGTCTTCATGAAAGTCCCTGGCAGCTGCGGGAGGAGCACCCTCATGGCTCGCACCCTCTCACCCCATCACACAGCCCGGCCAGCTGATTCCCATCAACCGCAGCACCCCACCCAGCCCCGCGGATGTGTACCGATGCGCGGGGTGTGTCAAGGCAGAGTGCCAGGGGCCGACGGGGTGCACCGACTTCCAGTGGCGGGACCAGTCGGGCGGGTACCTGCGTGAGATCCTGACCAGCCGGGTGTACAGCGTGGCCCGCGAGACGCCCTTGGAGCGCGCCCCCGGCATCAGCGATGCCATCGGCTGCAACCTGTACCTCAAACGGGAGGACATGCAGCCGGTGCACTCCTTCAAGATCAGGGGCGCCTTCAATCGGATGGCGCGCCTCACCCCCGAACAGCTGAAGCGGGGCGTCATCTGCTCCTCGGCCGGCAACCACGCCCAGGGCGTCGCCATGTCTGCAGCCCACCTCGTGCGTTGAGCTGGATGGGGGGTTGGGTGGTGTATTGTGGTGGGTTGGCATGGAGGCAAACACGGCATGCGTCTTTAGGGTTTCAGAGTGTGGGCCCGGCATGACTACAAACAGAGGATGGTGCAGGGCGTGGGGCACCTGGGTTCAGCACACTGAAAGCTGCCATCGCTCTGGCTGGCAGGAGGGCCTCTTCAAGTATTTTGGCACCGGAGCCTCGGTAGATGCCAGTGCGCATCATGCAGTTCACTTTGACCCCACCCCCTTCCTCCCATTCCCAGGGCTGCTCTGCCGTGATCTGCATGCCCACCAACTCTCCGGAGATCAAGTACCAGGCCGTGGAGAGGCTGGGTGGCACCGTGGAGCTCGTGGGTGAGTCCTTTTACGAGACGGCGGCGCACGCCGTGGCCCGTGGCATCGCCGAGGGCCGCACCTTCATCAACGCCTACGACGACCCCTACTGCATCGCCGGCCAGGGCACCGCGGGTGCGGAGATCCTGAGGCAGGGTGACATTGACAAGATGGACTACATCTTCGTCGCGGTGGGGGGCGGGGGCCTCATTGCCGGCATCGCCGCGGTGGTCAAGGCGCTGAAGCCCAGCATTAAGATCATCGGCGTGGAGCCGACAGGTGCCAGTGGTCAGAGGGAGAGTAGGGTTTATTGTGCATCATTGTCTTAGAGGGGTCTGGGGTGGACTCTAGGAACAAGCCAACAGGCAGAGAGCCTCTGAGCCACCAGACATTGCTCCAAGCTCTCGCTCCGACGGCGTCCCCACGGTCACCTTGAACCCCATACCCCTGCGTGCCAGGGGCCAACAGCATGACCCAGTCCCTCGTGCGGGGGGAGCGGGTGACGCTGAGCAAGGTGGACGCGTTTGCCGACGGTGAGAGCGCAGATGTGACCGTCGGGCGTTTGGAATGTGGGTGTGCTGGAGGCCTGCAGCATGTCACCGCCAGTCGAGCGTCGCCGGGGGCACATCAGTCTGGGGCAACAGGGGCTGGAGGTCGCAGCAGGGCCTCCTGCCTGCTGACGCTCTCACCGACATCCCCATTCCACCCTTTTCTCCCCAGGTGTGGCCATCAAGCTGGTGGGCGCCGAGGCCTTCCGCCTGTGCCGCGAGCTGCTGGACGGCATGCTGCTGGTGGACAACGCGGCCATCTCCGCGGCCATAAAGGCATGTGCTGCGTCGGGTGCTGGACCTCTGGCTTGCAGCAAGCCTTGCTCGCTGTTCGTACCGGCCCTGCTGCCCCTTCCCACGTCGCACCCACCATGCATGCGAGCCATACAGGCTCAGACTGCACGGGGCAAACCTAGACCAAACCGCCCCTCTCCCACCTCCCCTCCACCCCCGCAGGAGGTGTTCAACGAGACGCGGTCCATCCTGGAACCGGCGGGCGCGGTGGCGGTGGCGGGCGCGCTGGCCTTCGCCTCGAGGTATCGCCTGCGCGGCAAGACCCTGGTGGCGGTGACCTCCGGGGCCAACATGAACTTTGACCGCCTTCGGATCGTGTCCGAGCTGGCCAATGTGGGCAGCGCCGAGACGATGCTGGCCACCGCGCTGCCCGACGAGCCCGGCAGCCTGCTGCGCCTGATGGACATCCTGTCCGGCAACTCGGGCCCGCTGAACATCACCGAGTTCAAGTACCGCTACAACATGCACTCCGACGGCCTGGCACGCATGCTGTTCAGCGTGGGGGAGGCCCCGGGGTCGAAGGAGAGCAGGGCGCTGATGGCGCGCGCGCAGGCAGCGGGCATCCGCGTGCAGGACGTTTCGGACGTGGAGCTGGCACAGACCCACCTGCGCCACATGATCGCGGGGTTGGGCGGGAACGTACCCACCGAGGAGATTTTCCAGGCATGTGGGGAGGGGGGGGGGGGGGAGTGTGGGGTTGGGGGTTGGGGGGAGCTGCGGGGGCCGAAGGGGAGGAAGGTGTGTGGCAGTGATGAGGGAGGCATCTTTGCTTCATGGTGGCCATGCATTCGCTGCACCCGGCATGGACAGCAGGCGTGGGGGGCTTGCGATCGGGATGCAAATCAGCGTTGGGGCCCCGGCGGTGGGGCAAGAGACCTGCTTTTTGTCGTGCGCAGAGAGCATGCAATTGCCTCCTCCTCCCAGAACAGGGTAGGCCGTCACTCTCCATCCCAACCTGTCTACCCCACCGCACCCTGCAGGTCACGTATCCGGAGAGGGTGGGGATGCTGCGCAAGCTGCTGACTCCCCTGTCGCCTCGCTGGACTATCAGCCTCGTACACTTCCGCAAGACAGGTGGGGTTTGATGAAGGGGGGGGGAAATTCGATAGCGGGCAATGTTTATCGTCAATTGCAGCGCCAGCCCCGGGGATGCTGTTCCTATATAGGACAGATTATGCACGCGCAGCTGCTAGACGCCAAGCCGCAGGCACCTCGCGCCGAGGCGTGGCAGCAAATACAACCTAGTCACCCTCCCTTGCCTCCACCTTGGCAGGCAATCGGTCTTCCACCCTGATGCTGGGTGTCCAGCTCAAGCCGGAGGAGATGGCAGAGTTCCTGGAAGCCACTGAGAGCCTGTCTGGGGAGTTCGTGTTTGAGCCGCTGCTGGGAAGGGCCAAGCAGGTGTTTGACCTGTTCCTCGAGAAGTGATGGGTGTGAGGAGATAGAGGCTCCCATGCTGTACCTTCATGGCAAGGGGCGTGGGAGTCCTCTAGGAAAATGCATGTCTCATTTCAGACACTCAGCACCCTCTTGCATCCGCTTGATGAATGAAATTCGTTGAAAGAACCGGACGAAGCCTGTTTTACAATGTACACGCATTGAAGAAGTGGTGTGCAAACATCCTCCCATGCCAGCCCTCGTCTCGCCTTGTAACCTCCCCTCGTCCTCGCATTTCCCTGGAACATTCCATGCAGCAAAGTGCCTGAACTATGACAGGGAGCTGTCAGACTGGCAAGCGTCCACACGATTATAGTTTGCCGAGGGCTGCACCTTGCCTTGCCGCGCCTCGACGCAATGCACGACAGCGGCCACTGCCGTCCGCAAGACGAGTGATCCAGCTGTTGCCATGCTTTCCCCGGGACTGTGCAAGGGCCCAGTCAGCTTTGTGGCAGGGGATGACCTGCAAGGTCCACTTCCCCATCAGCGTTCCTCAATGTTGAGGGTGAAGGAGACATACGGGAACAGATCGCTGTCTGCTCCGCTCTCATTGCTGAAGAACTGGCCTCCCACGCCAGAGTACTTGGAAGCCAGCAGCTGTTGGTTGGGGTTTGAGAGGGAAATGGGCTTGACAAAACACTTTGGAGCTGGTAGAGCGATTGAACGAGAGTCATGCTCAAGCTGCCCTCCAGACGCACATACCCCGTGTGCGTTCTTGGTGGAAGAATCTGGTCTGAGCACCCAGACCTTCTCCCCGCAGAGCATCCCTCCCACATCCTCTGGACAAGTCCAGCTCCCCTCCCACCTTGCGCAGCTTGGCCACTGCCTTGGGGTTAGGCCTCATGAGGACGGGCAGGAATTGTGGGGGTAGGCCGTATCGCAGGATGCTCTCCACAAACAGGCGGACGGCAAGGATGTGGATCCAGGCGCTGAAGGCCTCGGAGTAGGAGGTCAGGCACCAGGCCTCGAACTCCGACCGCTTCACCTCCACCGCGGCACGCAGCTTCTCCAGACCCTCCTCGTTGGCCTTCTGGGACTCTGCATCCGATGTGATCTCCTTGGCCTGGGAGGAAGGGGGGGTGTGGGATGGGGTTGGGGTGGAGGAGACGCAGGGGCCTTGTCAACGTGGGTCAATTGTCCTGCGGGCCGTACTCAAACGCACAGCGGGCCCTTGCACAGCTTCCTTAGGGTTTGCTGATTCGTTAACACCGGCAGGAATCTTCCGCTGAAGGGGAGTGGGCACAGCCCTCCTCCTGCAGTGGAACATGCCTCCATCAAGCTCAAATACGTTGTGTGTGTTCTTACCCTCCGTCCCCTCTGATCAGCCCCCCCCCCTCACAATGTCCATCTCCCTCCCTCCACTCTGCACCTGGTAACCCTTGGCGCGGGCAGCTGCCTTGAAGTCGTCCACCACTCGCCGGAAGAGGACCACGCTGACCACACTGTACTCTGAGTCCTCGGTGACGAGGCGCGCGGAGCGCGGGACCACCCACTCCGTCAGCCCCTCGTAGCTCTTCATGAACTCGGGGGTGTTGGACCGCGCGATCACCACCACCAGCGTCACCAGGTTCTCGGTCTCCACCAGCTCGCCGGGCGGCACCAGGTCCGACAGGTCCCGCACCGCCAGCGAACCCGTGCGCTTTCGCAGCTGGGCCTGGAGCAGCGTCCGCTGCTGGGTGTACTCAGTGGTGCGGAGCTGCAAAAGAGAGTGGGGGGGGTTGGAGTGGCGGATGTGGGTGTGGTAGATGGCCATCAGGCCATGGCCAAGGGAGGGCCACTGCCCCGCCCGGCCCCCCGCACCTTCAGGTCGTCGTCCAGCTTCTGAGTGACCTCCGTGATGGCTGCCACGGTGTCCTTGAGGGGGCGCTTGGAGGGGTACTTAGCCTCCTGCCACTCAAAGTGCTGCAGGTAGTCGGGCGGGGAGGTGCCCTCCACCCTCACCTCGCCCCCTTCCTCCTCCTCGCTCCGGTCCGTGGGGGCGGCGGACTGCAGCTCGAAGAGCTGGCGTCGGACCTTGTTGACCGACCCCTCCACCGCACCGTTCACCTTCACCAGGTCGTCGCTGAGGCCCAGCAGGGAGTCCAGGGTCCCCACCTTGAACTCGGGCACCGCGAACTTGAAGTTGACGCTGAGGTCCGAGGAATAGGTGGTGTCCTCCTGCAGGCTGGCCCAGGCACCCTCCATGCCGGTGCTGGGCGCCGGGAGGGCGACCAGCCAGTACACCATCGCGTGGATTCGGGGGGTGGACCAACAGAGGTATGGGCTCCCGCTGCGTCAGGCCACCGAACACAAGCGATCAAGCGACGTGTCGAGGACGAATCGGGTCGTATGCTGGGCAAGGGTCTGGGGTTGGGGGTGCCCCGAGCTATCCGACGTCCTGGGCGCGATCCCTCGCCGCGAGGTACACAGCCCTCTGCTAGGGTTCTCGAGTAGATTGGTGGTTGTGAGAATAGTTCAATGGAGTCTGAGCGAGACTGTGCCAATGCGCCAGGCTGCAAACGGTGTCAGCGGAGGATGGGTTTCCTGGCGGGATCTCGTTGCGGACAGGGGTTTGCTAGGGACGTCCATGGTCCTTGCACATCTGCACAGCATCTCCCACCGCTGCTGGTAGGGAACCCAGAACGCTCCATCACACTCTAGTATCCCGCATTACAGTCGCACATGCTGTGGTCAACTGAGAATCCAGCAAAACTCCAGGGTCATGCCGGGGTGCCACGCAAGCCGGGCCCTGCTCCCAGCCTCAGTCGCTCCACCACAGCCGTCACATCCAGCGGCGCAGCCGGCCCCAACCCCAGCCTCTCCCGCTCTTCAGGTGGCAGGCTCGAGACGTTCTGCACCAGCACCTGGCCCGCTGCCAGCGCCAGTGCAGCGTTCGCGAGGGCGGTGCTCTCCTCCCACACGCCCGAGGGGCGGTCTGGGAAGTACCGCGCGGCGCTGGCCGTGTCCAGGGCCTGCCTGGCAGCCTCGGCGGCCTCAGGGCAGCGCTGCCCCAGCTCCCGCCACACGTCGGGTGGGGGGTGGGGCAGGGGCGGGGCCCCGCTCGTCCCCGGACCAGACCCCTCTGCCCCACCTGCGCTCTCCAACATGCGCACCAGGTGCTTGCTGAGCTGGCGCCAGTTCATGCGAGGTGGCGCATCCTCCTCGCTGGAGTCCGCATAGTACATGTCTTGGTCCGTCCCGGAGGGCCCAGCAGCCTCCAGTCCTGTCCCCAGACCAGGCGCCTCCTCCCACTTGACACGAGGCTGCCTGCCCCGGGGCTTCCCAGCACTGCCTCGTCTGTGGAAGTAGGGAAGGAACTGGGTTTGGAGGGGCAGGCATGCCTGGTGTCTCACATACTGCAGGCCATTACCCCATACAAGACGGGAGTGCCGAGGGAAAAGTCGCACTGGCCAGATGTTTCGACCCCTTCCTGGCACGAGACCCACCCCTTGGCTCCTCTCTTTGTGCCCGTCTTCGCATGGACGTCTACTCCAAGTTCCTGCCTCAAATGCGCCGCCTGTGCTGAGTCGTCGCTGTTGAGGCCCTCTGGGATTACAAATTCATTATGCTCATCATACTCCTGTAAGACAGGGGCGTGGTATGGGAGGGCTCAATTGACAGAGCGCAAGGGGAACTTCGAGCATGAGGTTCTCGAGCTGGAGCACATGGACTGACTTCAACTTCGACCTGCACAGAGCAGTGCCTGCCCGTCACGACACTCTCCCCGGCCAGCCAAACCAAATATCTATCCCTTCAGCATCCCCACTCACAGCTTCATCGGCGCTGCAGCTGTTGCGTTGAGCATCCGGATTCATGTAACAGTACCATGGCGCATTCTCGTCGACCACAGTGCCAGGTGGTAGCCTCCGCCATTTCTGACAATTTGCATTCTCACACTGGGCCCAATGCTCTGCTACAGGGGCCAGGGCTGCTGCAAGTGCAGAAACCATCGCCCCTGTGCACGAATTGTGTGGGCAACCTTCCGCTGGAAGCGGGGGCCGATGGCGGAGTTCAGATGAGGCCGCTGCAATGATCTTCCACACCCTCGCGTCGTGAATTTCTAAGGAATAAGCAATGACTGATAGACAACATTGCGTCGGCCATGTATATGCAATCTAAATCACCCTTGGTCGCATCACTTCCGTGTGCACACCTTTGCGCGCGCTCTGTCGGAGATCGTTCAGGAGCATACGAACGTCAGTCGCCACACCCGCCAGGACAGGAAGACAACAAAGGAGGAATATATTGTATAACATCATAGGTGTGTTCTTGAGTTGTTGTCGCGATGCCTCGCTTTGAAGGCTGCTGCTCCCACGATCACGACTGCGAAGAGGAGGACTGCAGCACATCGTACTCACTGTACAAGAATATCGATACACCCAGGGTAGGTGGGCAGATACGGCACCGACCGCGAGGAGTACCCCCGCCTTCTCATGGTGTCCTGGTCATTACGGATGCCTTACTCCTGAGCCTTGGACTCCCCGCAGGTGCGGTGTCTGAACGAGCTGGAGGAGGGATCATGCCAGGCAGTCTTCAAGCCCTGGCACGCCCGGCTAGACTCATCAGGACCCAACCTCCGAAGTCAGGAGGACGACCCTGAGCTGCTGCTCTACGTCCCCTTTGACGGAGCGGTGTCCCTCAAAGCCATCTGCGTGATTGGCGCACCAGATGGGAGGGGGCCTGCAAAGCTCAGGGTGAATAGGAGGGTGGGTGGGCTACATGGAGCTAGGTCTGCTGCGAATGGGGCTGCGAGCGCCACTCATGATCGCAACATTGTGCAGATTTTTCGGGATGACTTGGCTGCCATCATTCACAATGAGATTGTAGAGATCATTCTATGCCCGCCTCCCGCCTTGGCCCCCAGGTGTATGTCAACAGAGAGGATCTGGATTTTGGGATGGTGGCAGACCTGCAGCCCATCCAGGAGTGGGATCTCGTTGACAACACAGCCGGTGTTGTGGACTATCCCACACAGTGAGTGAGGAGGGGATAGGCGTTGTCATAAAGGGACAAGCCAAGGATCACAGATTGTTGATCCGTGCTATCCAACCCTGCAGGGCCTCCAAATTCAATGGCGTGCATAGTCTGACGCTGCACTTTCCAGAGACGCTGGGCGGGGGCGACGCCACCCAGATCAACTTTGTGGGTTTCAAGGGCACCTGTGTGTCGCGGGATCGGAGGGCTGTGGAGGCGGTGTACGAGACCAAGCCCATGCCATCGGATCACAAGGTAGCCGACCTTGCTGGGGCAGCATGGAGACTCGGGTAGCCCTTGTGGTCCTGGCACTGTGACTGGTGGCACTGGACGCACATGGTTTTGAAATTCTGTTTGTCAGGCGAGCGATTGGTGAGCTCTTGCCAAACCGAGGTGTACAATGTAGGCCATCGAAGAGGCACGCCGCAGTTACATGCAGGACATAGGCTTCGAACACGACCTATTCACATTCTGGGATCATAAAGTTCACCATCACCCATCAAATGTACGGCTAAAGGACGTGGAATTGTATTTTTTAACAATGCTGGTGTGTTGTCTGTGATGTGATGGAAGGCTGGCTTGGCATGCCATAGCTGAACGAGGAGGAGGGTTGACGTGAGCTGGGGCGCCCTGCCGGAGAATCTTTCCGATCCAGCCTTGTCGCAATGCCAATCATCAGCGTGAAATGACAATACATCGCATTTGATTTGTTATCCACCACTCTTGTCCTCACGATGTCGCTCAGCGTGGCTAGCCTGCATGTGTACCCCGTGAAGAGCTGTGGTGGCGTGACTGTCGAGCAGGGTGTGATCACCCCCACAGGTATGCATGAAGGGCGACGATTGGATCTTTTGAAGGTGTTTTAATGCACTCACCGTCTCCTGCGCCCCCTTCCGACGTCCTGGGCCGTGGCCTTTGAGAACGATATCATCTCCATTCCGTGACACCAGCAACCCTTCCTGGACCCCCCCACGCACTTCTCGAAAAGCCCGCAGGGTTCCGCTACGACCGCAACTGGGTGGTGATCAATGAAAAGGGTCGCTTCGTCACCCAGCGCCAGAAACCGGAGATGGCCCTGGTCTCCGTGAGCCTGCAGCCTCAGGCACTGCTGGAGGACGCGAGTGCAGAGGAGGGCCAGTACCCGGACGCCACGCTGGTCCTGCAGGCCCCCGGCATGCCCACCCTGCAGGTTCCCCTGAACCCCGGTCGCCGGCAAGGCCCCTCCACCAAGGTCACCGTGTGGGAGTGGACGGGGCTGGGGGCCGACGAGGGTGCCGAGGCGGCCGCTTGGTGGAGCCAGTACCTGGGCCATGAAGCCCGCCTGGTTCGATATGCAGGTGAGGGATCTGGGTCGGGCCGGGGGCCGCACGTCTGCGCCGCCTCGCTGGGAGATCGGTGAATGCAGCTGGGTCCTGTCGCGCTGCAGGGCAGCGCCGTGCCTGGGGGGCCACTCCAGCGCCCCTCACCACCCTCCCGCGCCCCCTCCACCAACAGGGGAGCCAGGCCAGCCAGGGGAGATCAAAGCTGGAAAGGAGGACTCCACGCGCCGCCAGGTGGACCCGGAGTGGACCGAGGCCGGCGAGGAGACCGCCTTCTCCGACGGCTTCCCCTTCCTGGTGGCCAACGAGGCTTCGCTGACAGACCTGAACGCCCACCTCCCTCCTGACGAGGGCCCGCTCAAGCTCAACCGCTTCCGCCCCAACGTCGTGGTGGCGGGCGCCCCCGCCTGGGCGGAGGACGGCTGGCTGCGCCTGCGCCTCGGCGCCTCGGCCACGCTGCACCTGGTCAAGCCCTGCGATCGGTGTGCGGTGACGACCACCGAGCAGGAGACCGGGGTCGTGGGGTACGAGCCTCTGCGCACCCTGCGCGTCGTGCGCTCCGGCAAGGTGCTGGGCTGGAGCGAGGCGGTCCCGCGCTTCAAGGGCGCGGTGTTCTTCGCCTGGAACGCCGTCAGCGAGGGGCCCGGGGGGAGCATCAGGCGGGGGGACGAGGTGGAGGTGGTCCAGGCGCGGGAGGGGCCGGCCGTCCCGCAGAAGGTGGACCAGCCCGCCCCGGCGCAGGCGCAGGCGCAGGCGCAGCGTGAGCTGGGGGCGGGGCTGACCACCCTGCAGAAGGTGGCCCTGCTCCTGGCAGCGATACTCGTGCGGTACCTCTTCCAGTACTATGCGGCGAAGTGATATGGGAGCTGGCGCACTCACTGGCTGTGCGCCGCCCTGGGCTTTGTTGTCGAGCTTGGTCACGACAAGTTCTGTGTGATTCCTGGAATGTTCAGTGCTGGTCCATGCCATGCACTGCTGAATTTATGCCATCGAACAAAGGATTGTGCCGCTCAAAAACACTGCGGCGTGTCACTTCTCTCCCCCATGTAGCATATGGTATTGTGTCTCCCTGCAGAGTGTGCACCCGGGCTGCCATGAAACATGACCATGTACTCCCCCACACTATAGACAGATGGCATACAAATTGGCAAGAGCTAAACGCTTTGTGCATCATTATGGATGTTTGTGTTGGAGTGTCAGGAATATGAGTTTGGTGGTGGAGGTAGTGGTGGGTTGTGGGGATCCCGAGGCGGCGCGAACGCCAGCAACGGGCTTGAAAAATTATGACCTTCATGACCCCGAAGAGCCATGAACCCAGAGCCGCAAAGCGAAGTGCAAGGCCTGCAGCTGCTGGATGTTGCACGACCTTCTTGAGCACCGTGCAACCGGTCCAGGTAAGTATGATGAGACCGGCCTGATTTGCCCACATGACCATCGCCTTCGCACCGCGGGACCGCCAGCGATTATGGGTCGTGCGGCAGTCCCGTGATGTCCGCGCAGTGCGCTCGACCGATATGTCGATCGTGTCATGGTGTACTTGAGCTCAATGAGACTGTTTATGTTGTTCAGGACCGTCAAAGCTCGGTGAAACGTCGATCTTGCGGAGAGCGCGGGCAGTCGCCCCCTTCACCACCACCCACCAAACATGCAACACAGACCCCAAACCCCCTGAATTCGTCTCGGCCGGTTCTTTACACCAATTTACAGTCACAAACTGGCTTCAACCGTCTCCAGATGCCTGTTTCTGCTAGGATCGCTTCCTCTTCCCACTGCGCCGCCTGCCTGGTCTGAGGGGCAGCAGCCTTCGCAGCCGTTCCTTCTCAACTTCATCCCCCAACAGCCCCACCACCAGGTCCGGGTCGAAGGGCTGCGAACAGAGACCGCACACCCCTGCCATGTGCGAGATGGCCTTGTTCGAGAAGATGTGACCGCACCCAGGAATCGCCGAGAAGGGCTGCTGGAGGCATGACGCTGATGTGATGGGGCAGGAGAGAGGTGCTGCCTCGGCGGCGCCGCCCTCGCCTCGGGGCATGGCATCGCCCTGGGTCCCCGGTAGCCTGACCTCGAACACGTCCCTGATGTGGGGGAGACGGGGCGATGAAGGTGAGGAACGAAAGGATACGCCACTCTTTTCCAAGCCGGTCACCAGACGAGGCAATTCCCTGCTGTGCAAGGGCCATGATGCCACAGGAGCAGCAGAAACACATGCCACCTCCCCACCTGACACAATCGAGGTGGTCCCACTGGCTCAGTCCAGTGCGCAGCTGGTTGGAGTAGCGGTGCACATCCCCTTCCGTCTCAAAATGCCCGGCACGTGCCAGCAGGAACCCCAGGACAGCCGCCTTGTTGTACAGGCTTCCCAGCCAGTCAGCCACGATAGGGGCCTGCAAGGGCTCACCGCTCAGGGCGCAGGTGGTCCATCCCACGACCCTGAGGGTTCGTGGTCGGCGTGGAGTGGCGATGTGGACGACTAGACTCCGGCGTGCAAACGGGCAAAATCTTATGAAACAAGCTGTGCACTGCAGTAGGCAGGGCGTGAAACTGCCAAGTCCCAGCACCCTGCCCATGCCCACCTGACCGCCACCTTGTCCAGCTTGGGCTTTTTGAAGGTCCCGGCTTTGCTCACTGCTCCACCTCGTGTGCTCCTGGTGCCATCGGCCTGCGACAGCTCCCAGGATGCCCCTCTGAGCACGTCGCTGCGAGAGATGACGGTCCCACCATCCAGACCCATGCCCAGAGGCCGGGGTGCCGGTCTAGAATATTGATAATATTGTTTGCATGATACAGATGATCACTGTATGAAGACCACCAGCCGATGCATTTCATGTCGCTTCTCTCTTGCGCGCACGTGCGCGCAAGGGCTCCGATCTGGGGCATGCGGTGGCACCTCCCTGCCTCGCCACGGCTCCTCCCACATCCCTCCGTGATACGTAAACCCATAATCTGTCATTCACACGCGGCCCCCCTTCATCCTGCGGTGCAAAGGCATGCTCAAGGGTTTGGCCCCCAAGCCCCCCCTGCGCTCACCCCCCACGCACCAACCCCGGGCGGTCATGGCAGGCGCTGCCACCCATCGCTCCCACGGCGAGAACCCTGCATCGGAAGCATCCCAGCCCGAGGCTTCCACGCAGCGGGACCTTGCGGCCTCCGAGGGCGCAACCCGTGCTAGCGCCCCCCTCAAGTCCAACCCCAGCATCCCCGTCACTGTCCGGTCGGATGGCCTGCGTGAGTGTATTTGGGGGGGTGTACGTCGCCATGCATGCTGTTGTGGGGCCGATCTGAACGCTGTGCTGCAGGCATGGCCTGCTGAAGGCTGATGGCTTGTGCCAGGAAGCACATGGCTGTGTAGTGCTCAACAGCATGCACTCAGGCCCACTGTGGGTGGTGGGCCTGCTGCCCCCGGCGACACCTCCCACCCATCACCCCTGACCATGCAGAGTATCTTGAGGTGAAGGACCTGCGCTCTGTGCTGAAGCCACGCAAGTCCCCCTTCTGCGCCACCAACAATGCCGGCGCCGGTTTTGGTGAGCCGCCCTTTGGGGAGGCGGGGTCACCGTGTTGCCCTGGGATGGGTGGGCTGGTTGTTATTATTACGTGACACTCAGCCTGGGTCGGTGCGTCCCTGGATTGTACTGCATGTGCGGGGGCCGGCGGGAGGTGCTACTGCTTGCCTCCTTAGGTCCCTTGTTCCTCGGCATGAAGGTGCATTGCGTCGGGGCTTGCTTGTGTGGCTCTTTGGTGCTCAACCATTGCATCCTCTGCACCCTACTCCCCTCTCACCGCTGCGGGTGTGGCTTATATACCTCTGATCCCCTGCTGTCAGGTTCCTTGACGTGCCCCATAAGAAATCCCCTCTCCACCCCCCCCTCCCTCCTTCCTCCACTCCACCCCAAACCCCAGTGGGCGACACCGACCTGGTGCGCATCGGCATCATGGAGTATGAGTCCAGCCACTCCTCCGGCGCGCAGGGCTCAGGCCTCTACGACGCGGCGGACAACAGCTGGGTGGACATCCCGCCCTACGCCATCCGCTCCGGCCCGCGCGAGTCCATCTACCACGACCCCAAGCAGGTCACTGCGGCGCTCGTCACCTGCGGCGGGCTCTGCCCCGGGCTGAACGACGTGGTGCAGAACATCGTCTACACGCTGGAGGACCACGGCGTGCCGGAGGACCAGATCTTCGGCATCCGCTTCGGCCTGCGCGGCTTCCTGGACCGGCACACCAAGCCCATCATGCTCAGCCGCGCGGCGGTGGAGGGCATCCAGCTCAAGGGGGGCACGGTGCTGGGCACCTCGCGTGGCAACGCCAAGATGCACGAGATCGTGGACCGGCTGCGCCTGTGGGGTGTGAACATGCTGTTCGTCATCGGCGGCAACGGCGGCAACGCCGCCGCGCACGCCATTGCGCGCGAGTGCGAGCGCCAGGGCGTCGTCTGCAACGTCGTGGGCGTGCCCAAGTCCATCGACAACGACATCCAGCTCATCGACCGCTGCTTCGGCTTCGACACCGCGGTGGAGGAGGCGCAGCGCTCCCTCATCTGCGCGCGCACCGAGGCGCGCTCCGCCTCGGGCATCTCCATCGTCAAGCTGATGGGCCGCTCCTCGGGCTTCATCTCCCTCAATGCCTCCATGGCCTCGGGCGTGGTGGATGTCTGCCTCATCCCGGAGATCCCCTTCTCCGTCCCGCGCCTCGTGGCGCACGTGCAGACCATCCTGGCGGCCAAGGACTACTGCGTCATTTGCGTGGCGGAAGGCGCGGGGCAAGACGTGGTGCAGGAGGGCGGGGCGGGGGGCACCGACGCCTCGGGCAACCCCATCCTCAAGGACATCGGCACCTTCCTCCGCGACCGCTTCGAGGAGGCCATCGAGGCGAGCCAGGGGGGGGCCAAAGGGGACGGAGATGGGGCTGCGATCCATTCAGGAGGGTCCTCGAGGAGCACACTTTTCGCACAACCCTCTCACCCCAGAAACCCTGACCCCCTCCCACAGGGCATCGATGTGCGGTACATCGACCCCTCCTACATGATCCGCTCCATCCCCACCATCACCACCGACCGCATCTACTGCAAGGTGCTGAGCCAGGGGGCCGTGCACGGTGCCTTTGCCGGCTACACCGACTTCACGGTGGGCCTGGTCAACACCCACTACGTCTACCTGCCCACGACCACCATCATCCAGTCGGCGCGCACCGTGGACCCCGCCGGGCGCCAGTGGAACCGGCTGAAGACGGCCATCAACCAGCCGGACCTGGCGTGAGGCTGGCCAGGTGCCGAGTGCCGGGGGAGGGGGACCTCGTGGCCAGGACAGGGGTGCCGCCGCTGCGGCCTGCTCCCATGGCGAGGGAGCAAGCCATGTTCCTGGCTGATGCTGGAGAACCATGGGGGCCTCCTCTCCGCCAGAATGCCCCCCTCCTCCCCCACACACTCCCTTGCACATGTTGCATGGACGATGCAGCAGAGGCTGCGCTGTGCCAGTCCCCAGATCATTTATACGGTGTCTCCTCCTCACCCTCGAAACCGGGAACCCAACAAAGTCTGGCTCTTTGCTGCCATGGTCCGTAATTGGTGAACTGACAGGGGCTGGAGTAGCTTGTACACGCCTTGTTAATATTGAGCACTTGCCGTCCTGCTCAGGTTGAAAGTTCGAACGCCATCCCACAGCTTGCTTGGGGCCGCATTCCTCTCATTGTCAACTAGGGCATCTCGTTCATACTGGAAGTCATGCATGGCCGGGGTGCCTGCCTCTCCGCCCTCGTGTTCCTGGATTCCCCTTGGGTGGCGAACAAACATCCAATGTAGAAAGTGCTCCTCTCCCGCCATACCAGGAAGAGCAAGGTATGGCATTCATACCAGCCACTGTTCAGCACACATTCGTGCACATTCTTTACATGCCCCAGGATCATGGATGGGCGCAGGAGACACACAATTCCCCTGGCAACCTGTACCCTGTCCCCACCTTTTTCGATTTCATGTCAAGGGACGGTTGCATGCTGGATGTTGGGAAATAGTTTTGCTACTATATGGAGTGACTAAATATCCTGTTGACATCTCTCCTGTCTCTGACATCCCCTCTGAACTCCTCCCACTCTCTGACAGCCAAGCCTGAAGGGAGTACTTTGATACAGTGTGTTCAACATGACCGCAATTGGCGGCCCAGCGAGCATCTGGTGTGTGGGTGGCTTGTCAAGATGGGTCGCATGGCACAGGGACTGAAACAGAGCGGAAAGGGAGCACGCAGCAAAACGTCAGGGGCGGAGATAAGCCTCTAGGGGGAGGGGGCGGGGGCCGCGGCGGTCAGGCACGAGGGGACGGTAGCACAGTTCTGCAGAGAGGCCAGGCCGACCACGTCCACGCCCGCGGAGGACAGGGGGCCGTAGATGACGTTGATGCAGGCGGAGATGGCGTCGGTGGCAGTGGACCGGTCAACTCCCTCCAGGTTCACGCCCGCCCTCCGCAGGACGGGGCCGAAGGCATCAGCCAGGGCGCACCCGCACGCCTCGCACTCGGTGGCACTAGGGGAGCTGGGGAGGTTCCTCTGCGGGATGCGTAGGTCAGGATAGAACACAATGAGCATTGGAGGCCGGTCCGAGCCCTGATTCATGTCGTAATGGGTCGGACTCCCAGTCGGTCACCACCGCGTTATCAAAGTCCACCACAGAACCCCGGCAAATCCATGCATGCATATCGGATATCCTTCTAATGCACCACCCGGCCTGAGCGCCACCGCCCGGCTCACTCATGCAAAAGAGATGTGTGCACCGGCCAACTCACGCATTTGACGGCGACCTGGCTGTAGTCTCCCGTGCGAACATCGGCGGCCGTCAGCTCACATGTCTGGGCAGAGGCTGCCTGGAAGGTTACGGCCAGCACCAGAAGGACAGCGGCGAAAGACTGCAGACGGGCCATCGTTCGTATGTGGGTGTGAAGATGAAGAGGAGATGGGTAAGGCTGAGGCTGGGGGTGTCGGAGCGAAGGCTGTAATGGAGCGGGGTCGGCTGGGAGACTTTATATATGGGTTATAATGACGTGTGGAAGCATGGTCTCTCCCTATTAACACGCCAAGGGAGTGCAGTCGGACACTCCCGTGCCGACCGTCAGCTACTACCCTTTCGGCACGTGGGAAATTCAGAGAACATCATGAGTGGGCGCCCTTTCTACCGGCCCGACCAGAGTGCCGGCGCTCGCATGTCGCGCGGGGGGGCCCAGTTTGCAAACCACAACAAAGAGAGCCATTTGACAGTGACATTGTAGTGAAGGGAGCACGCACCAGTCGCGTGTAAAGGGCGCTGCTCCCTCATCCAAGGAAACATGTGCCGATTGAAAAGTCGGCTTCTCATCATTCTCGGACCTGGGATCTGTACCATGTCATGAAGTGGGAGACGAGGAACCAACCCCGGACCCCCCGACCGGACCTCCATAATGGTACACCCTTATTTCCAGCACTTTGTCATGTGTCCCGATGGCGACATCACGGGATTCGGGGCATTCTGTCGCCATGGTGGCGAGGCAAGGTGCATGGAAGGAGAGGGGGTGAGGTGACTACATGTTGCGGCCTTGGAGTGGGACGCCGCCACCCTGCAAGCCAGGCCTGGCCTCCTTCTCCTCCCGTCCACCCGGAGCGTTCTCGGTGGCATGCGGCAGGGCCTGGGCATTGGAGGAGGACACCGAGCGGTACTGCCTGTGGGAGGAAGGCCGTGGCTCCCCATGCATCCCCGCTGTGATTGGTTGGTGTTGGGCAAAGGGTTGAGTTGGTGCTTGCCAGACGTCTCTGTCGACTGAAAACAAAGTGTCCATGAAAGAGCTTCCACTGCCTGTGGCCCTGTCGCACCGCAACTCTGATCATCCAGTGCAGCACGCATACGCCCACGCCACCGAGCGACGCTGCAAATGTTTACTCCCTTCAAACATAAGCGTCTGGGGCAGATCTCCTGCCCCAAAGGAATGAGTAAGAAACCTGTGACTGACGTGGCAGCGAAACCCCCTCCTCCCCCCCCTGCACCTGAGAAGGGGTGGTAGAAGTCCAGGTCCTCCGTGTTCCGGAACACGGCCGCGATGTGGTCCCGCGGGTTGACCCCGGGCCTGGCCCCCTTCCACCGCGCCATGCCCTCCAGCGTGGGGCTGAGGAAGGTGCCCAGCGGCAGCGGGTGGGAGTCCTGCGCCCCTTCCTGGGGCCCTGGCGCCGGCGCATCGCATGCCCGCATGGCCCCCGCCTTTGCGAAGCCCGGGGACGCCAGGCTGGCCCCCGTCCTGACCAGAGAGGTCGTCGCCTTGCCGCGCAGGCTCCCCGCCCCGACCGGGGCGGGGACGTCGCCCGGGAGCAGCAGCGGCGCCGGGCGCTGTGCGGCGGCGGCAGCTTGAGAGTGCGTCCCCCGCCCCTCGCCGCCGGCCGGCCCCACCGGGGTCCAGGCCGGGGCGAGCGGCGTGTCCTGCAGACCCTGCCCGGGATCGATGGAGCGGTGGCCCCCGGCCCCGCCCTGCACGCTGGAGCGCAGAGCGGAGGCAATGCCGCGCCAGCCCTGGCTGGAGCGCGGAGCTTCCGCCTGGGGCGGGGCGTTCTCGCCTGGGGCGCGCGCCCGCGGTGAGGGCGAGCCGTTGTCGAGCGAAAATGGTTCCGCTCTGGTGCCACGAGACGATGGCGCCCCGGGCGCCAGGTCATTGGTGTGGACGGTGAAGCCGCTGAAGTGGCTCCTGGAGGCATCCAGCGCGGGCGCCTCCTCCTCCTCCGTCGGCGCCTCGGCGCCGTCTGGGTGCAGGCCGCGGGCCAGCGAGGCCAGGCTGCCCTCCAGAGAAGCCCGGAGCGCCTGGTGCCGGGCGGAGCGCGCCCGCCCGCCGCCGCAGCCATCCTCCTGCGCAGTCGTGCCTTGCTGCGGCTGCGCCGCCGCCGCCTCAGCTTGGCGCCGAGGGTCCAGGGACGCATCCAGCAGCCCTGCCAGGGTCAACCCAGCCGCGGACCCCTCCACCCCGGCCCGGCTCTCCCCCAGGCTGGCCCTCGCTCCAGGGCGCGTGGGGGTGGGGCTGGGGGCGCACCCCAGGTGCTCCAGCGTCGTCTGCAGCAGGGCGGAGAGCTGGAGCTGCTGCGCCTCCGCGTCGCGCGTGGCAGCCTGCGCGTGCATCAGAGCCTCGCCCCTGCACGGCACGGGAGGGGGAGAGGGATTTGAGTCTGCGATGGTGTCTGTCTGGATGGGGAAGGGCACCCATAAACCACCACTTTCCCCGTACCTGGCGGTGGCGAGCGCCTCGGCGCGGGCGCGGGCAAACTCCGAGCGGCGATGGGCGAGCTCCAGGGCCTGCAGCGTCTCCAGCAACTCCACCTGGTCCTGCATGGGCAGCAGGGAACATAGTGGGGTGAAGAGGCTGCAGCAATCCTGCACACGCACTACTGACAAGGACGGTGTTGCATGTCTCCCGAGCCATTCGGAAGCCTGCGCCACGCCGTGATGCAATCCAATCGACCCATCGTTCCAGCCCTCCGCTCCCTGGCACCGACTTGTTGGCAGATCTGGCAGGTGCGGGCCAGCGCGCCTATCTTGCCCAGGAGGTCACGCGCCAGGAAGAGGAAGGAAGGGGACAGGTCCTGGGCAGACAGGCGGGTGTAGGCCAGGGACTGCTCCCTGGCTGGGGCCACGGGGTGTGGGATGCGGGAGAAGGCATCCGTCAGGTCCTGTTCCACCGCCGCCAGGATCTTGGATCGGGCGGAGTCGGCCTGAGGTGTGGTAGGTGAGCAAGGGGTGGGCCCAGGTGAGAAGCACCTCCCCCACCACCTTTGAAGTGCAGCACTTCGGTGCAACTGTTCGTTCAGCTCTCTCCGCGGTGCTCCTCGAGGTGAAATTATGGACACCTATATAATTCTTGCAAGAAATGGTACATCTTCCACGACAGCCATGACTCACGTAGGCGTTGCGGAGTGATTGTGGACTCCGCTGCGGGGAGCCAGCGTCCCCGGCCAGGCAGAAGAAGCGCTGCACGAAGCCCACCATCACGGGCAGTCTCCGACCGCCTCACAAGAGTGTGTGAATTCTCACGGGTGCATGTGTGGATTCTCATTCCCAGATCAGCACTCCGAGTGGCGTCTGAACACCTCTCCGACAGCTGCCCGGATTCATAGACGCATCATCCTCAGCACGCACACACGCTACCCCCCCACGGCCGCTGTGGCAAATCATCATGCCCATTCACGCTTGGGATCTGCTTAAATTTAACTGCACAGGTTCGAGTTCCACTAGAGAAGGTGATAAGATGGGTATTATCGCGGCATGCGCCGGGTCCAAAACCATGCCGCAAAGCTGGCGCACCAGGCACTCAGGCAGACGTGATCGCTCCGGCTGCGCCTCTCGCGCCCGACCCCAGCATCAGGCCCACGAGCGCGCGCAGGCACCAGAGGACCCAGTACAGCACAAGGACGCCCACAGGGGTCCAGCCCAGGTTCCTCACGTCCGCCAGCGGCCTTAAGTTCACCCTCCAACCCCGTGCCGCCGCCGCAGCGACGGCTTCCTGCCACCGCGTCTCCGGCGCCTCCCCTGCCCCCCCACCCGCCGTCCGGTCCAGTCCCAGGGCCCGATTGCTGGCCACGCTGAGCGCGACCAGCGCCCTGACAAGCCAGGCGACCTCGGTGCTGGCCACTGGGCCCAGCATCGGGTCGCCCTTGTACCGCACGTCCCGCCAGCTGCTCCGCGGCAGGCGCTGCGGGGTGGCGTATGGGGGTGGGGAGGTTGTGTGCTAATGCAAGAAAGGAACTGTGAGGGAGGGAGGATGCTGTTCTCGTATCGGCGTCGTGACCCCCTTTCCCTGTGCCGCACAGACTTCACGGGGGCTCCCTCAACATCTCGAGACACACACACCTGCCAGCCGTCGTTTGATACCTCCCTAGGGTCACCATCCCGCGTCCCGTCCCCCGTCCCAGCTGTTCGATCCGGCGCGGGGCCAGAAGCTCCCGTCCCTGCCGCCCTTTCCAGGTCAAACACCGTGGCGAGGCAGGCCCGCAGCGCGGCGGCGCCTTCTTGCGGCAGCACCTGGTCGCCCGCGCTGGCCAGGTCCAGCGCCGCCGCGGCGGCGCTGGACACCCCACCCGCTGTCGCCGGGTCGAACAGGCTGGGCGCGGACGGCGCGGTCCCTGGCTGCGGCGCGTGCCAGGACGCGGCGGCCGCCGCCTCCCAGTCTGCGGCCCGGTCCGCCAACCAGGGCGCCAGGTCGGCATACGGACCGGCGTCCGCCCGGCCGCCCGCCGCACCGGCGCGGCCGGCGCTGGGCGCCGCGGCGCGCTCCGCCCGCCGCAGAACCTCGCACAGCTCGGGGCTGGAGCTCAGCGGGCCCAGCAGGAGGGCGACGTCGCGCGCGGCGCCGGCGCCCCGCGCCTCCAGCCGCGCCGCCGCGCTCTCCAGGAACAGCGGCAGCACGACCGTGTAGAAGGGGAGGTGGGCCAGCACGTGCGGCTCCCACTCCGGCGAGTACCGCCCGGCCGCGTCCGCGGCCGGGGCCCGGCGGTGGTCGGCCGCCGCCGCCCCGCGCCCCCTCACGGCATCCCGACCGCCAGTCCCGCGCCGCAGCGTGGTCAGGTAGTCGGCCAGGTGATGGCCGTGGGGCGGCCCAGCGCCAGGCGGCCCGACATCAAGACCCTGGCCGTCGCCCGCCCCAGATGCCCCCCTCCAGGGCGCCAGGATGGCGCCCAGCGCCCGCGCTAGGGCCCGCGTGGACCGCGCCTCGGGCCAGGCCGACGCCGCGCGGCGGTGGAAGCGGAAGAGGCGCCGCGCCAGGGCCTGCGCGCCGGGCGAGGCGGCGGGTCCCAGGCGGCTGGGCCCGGCCAGCACGGCCTGCGTCCGCGCGGCGGGCGCTGCGGCGGGGGTGAGCAGGGGGACGAAGGGCAGCCACGCCGCGCCCTGCTGCGCGGGGCGGGGCCCGCCGGCATCGGGCACCACGGTGACGTGGCGGGCCAGCGCGCCCAGCGCGCCCAGCAGCTCCTCGGAGGGCGGCTCATAGCCGCCGGCCCAGAGCGGCGGCGGCTCGGCGCCGCCGGGCGCAGCGGGGGTAGCGTCCGGCAGCGGCTCCTCCCCGTCAGTCAGCCAGAACTCCACCAGTGTGGACAGGAGGAGCAGCGCCTGGGTGCGCTGCGCGTGCAGCGAGGGGGACCGGGACAGCTCCGGGCGGCGCGCTGAGTGTTGTGTGTGTGTGGGAGGGGGGGGAAAGGGGGGTGAGTTGGGACTTAATGGTTGTTCATTGTTTGGGAGGAGGACTAGTAACGATCTCAGCTACTCCAGAAGCGTTGGGACGCCAGCACAGGGGTCCGCCACTCCCCTCTTTCACCTTTCGATAACCGTCCCTGCCTTCCTAACCCCACACCCTAGAAGCCACACCTGGAGTCCGTCCGGAGGGGCCAGCCACCCCCCCGCCCACGGGCACCAGCTCTTCCAGCAAGGAGGAAAGCAGGGCCAGGTAGGGCTGTTGGCCCTGGCCCCCCGCCGACTGGCCGCCGTGGCCGTGCAGGAGCGGGAGATGCAGCGCGTCTGACACCGCCTGCTTGTGATGGAGATTTGAAGGATGTCAAGTAAGCTGCTGTGTGAGCTGGGCACCTTTGATGAAAACATAGGGCAGGTGGCGGTGCGGCCTGGGCTTACAGGGGCCTCCCTTCCTTGCAACGCCCTATCCCTCCGGCCCTTCAGAAGAGGAGGGGGCCACCTGGCTATCACTCACCCTCCGCATGGAGCCTGGCAGGAGGCGGTCATGGGGCGCGCCCGAGGCCTGGCCGCCACCAGGCTGGCCAGGCGCGGAGTCCGGCCAGGCGGCCGCCTCCTCGCCGCCGCGGAACGCGTAGAATGCAAACCAGGCAAAAAAGTACTGCGCCACGCCCATGTGGATGGAGGGCCGGCCCGCCGCGTCGGCGACCAGCGTGCCGCCTCCGTACTGCGGCCAGCGCGCCAGCTCAGCGCGACCCGCCCCGCTGCACAGCAGCAGCTGGGTGTGGGTGGGCAGGCGCTCGCGTGGAAAAAGAAAGCGTGTGGCGCCATCCGCATCCGCGTCCCGCATGGCGCCGAACAGCGGGCCGCCGGGGTGGAGAAGCGCCAGCAGGGCATCCACGTCCTGGGCCTTGCCCTCCTGTGTGGTATAGCGGGAAGGACACCAAAGGGTGCATAGTAAGTGATGAGCATGCGCTGGGTGGTGTAGATGGGTCTGGGCGCACGCAGAAGGATCGGTGTCCCCGCAAGCACATCCACCCCTCGCTCCCACCTTGGTGAGGGAGCTGAGCCAGCTGACACCGTCGTAGCCGAAGAGACGTTTCAGCAGGAAGGGAAAACATAGCTCGAAGAACTCTCTCGGGTTATCCCTGAACATGCATAGGGTCGAGGGGCGATGGTGGACCCCGAAGCCAGCGAAGTGTTGTTCAGCCAGGAGCCCCGCAGCAGTCTATCATCGGCGTGGCAGCGGCTATGATCAGGATGACTCGTGTGAGCAAATGGATTCTAACACGCATTCATACGCTTCTTCAATCCATCCAGATCGCTCATGCATGCCCACCGATTGGCCGCGATGCACTGTTCCACAGCCTTGCAGGCCTGAGCCACGTTCACACGGGGCCGCTCGAGGATGGCACGCAACCCCTGGGGGTTGGTGGGATCCCAATCCCGATCCATGATCGCTGAAGGGCTAGAGCACGGGGTTCTAGCACGGCCGCATCGACTGCATTCTGAATTGGGGTCGATCGTCTCCACGGGCGATTCGGCCGCAGGGCTTTCGCGCCCAGGTTCAAATGGCAGACTGCATGCGAAAATGTCGCAGCTCGGCAAACAGGTACATGCCAGGATGTGAGTTGTTTCCACATCAAAAGACCCAAAAAGGAGAATCCGAGCGTCAAAAATCCAATTGCCGGTTGATTTTGGGACAGCATGTCGCTGCGCCTGGTGTCGTCAGCCCGGCTGGATGCCAGCATCTCGGCGCATGCGGTGTCGGGCGACGGCAAGCTCCTGGCCGTGGCGCGGGAAAATGAGATCTCCATCCTCGACCGTGCCAGCCCCTCCCAGAACTGGACGCCTGTCGCCCGGGTGGGGCCATGCCAGCACTCCCAGCGCGTCTCCGGCCTGGCCTGGTCCGGGTCGCAGCTGGCCTCCTGCTCCCACGACTCCGGGGCGGTGGTCTGGACCCGCACCCCGCAGGGCGCCTGGTCCCCGAACCTGGTGGTCACCCGCCTGGCGCGAGCCGCGCTCTGCGTGCGCTGGGCGCCCGGCGGCGCGGCCTTGGCACTGGGAGCGGTGGACGGGGCCGTGGTCGTCTGCCACAGGGACGAGGAGAGGTCGCTCTGGGCCCCCCGCATGCTCCAGCGAGGGGACCCGCAGAGCGCGGCAGCGGTCCAGGACCTGGCCTGGCACCCGGCGGGGAGCTGCCTGGCCAGCGTCGCGGCCGACGGCAGCCTGCGCATCCATGCCACGCCATGCAGAGGTGAGGCCCCGGCCTGGAGTGCCATGGTGGGCAGCTCCTGTGCTCGGAAGGCGGTGCGACTGTCCATTCTTGGCACGTTATCGCAAACCGTTGACAGCACGTGGGAGTTTGAGTTTGCTCAATGCAACTGCAGTTGCCTTGCCCGAGATGGAAACTGGCACCAGCGCTGCCACTCGCGCTCAACACCACCTGGCAGGCGCGGGCGCACCCACCCCTCCAAGCACCACCTTGGGCGCGTTTGGCACGCTGCTCTACACAGCTACCCCCTCCCCCGGCGCCTGGGCCATGAGCGTGGCCTGGGACCCGAGCGGAAGCTGCATGGCGGTGGCTTCCTCCTGTGGTGGCGGCGCCCCGCCGCGCCTGACCCTCATCGCAGGGCTGCTGACGGGAGGTGGGGCGTGCACTGCCGAGGCGCTGAGGGAGGCGGGCACACGCGCCCAGACCCTGGACCTCCGGGGCCCCTGCCTGGGTCTGACCAGCCTGCTCTTCCTGACCGAGGATGTGCTGGTGGGAGCAGGGTTCCACGGCAGGCCCCTGGTCTTCAGGCGTGGCGCGGATGGCCCTTGGGCCCAGGACTGTGACCCGGGCCCGCAGGAGGACGCCGGGGGCGCACAGCAGCCGGCAGGCTCCCCTACGCCGGCCAGGCCTGCCACCCTGGCGCAGCGCATCCGCATGTTCGAGGTGGATGAGAATCGCAGCCTGAACGTGCAGGGGCGCAGGGTCGGCGCGGGCGGTGGCAAGGCGGCGGGCGTGGGGCCCGGGCGGCCCTCCGGCCCCGCCCGAGGGCCCGAACATGCTAGCCACATCGGTAGCCTTGCGGGCCTGGCGCAAGGGGCGTTCACCTCCGCCGGCGCCGACGGCCAGCTGCTGCTGTGGCAGGTGACGGGCGTGCGGTGAAGCTGACCGGTCTTGGATGCATTGCTGGGGCATGCTTTGTGGGCTGTAGATCTTGAGCCCAAGCCTGCCTTGAATAATTGCGTGGGTGACTGGTCGGCCAGCTGTTACAAGGCAGAGCAATGTAAGAGCAGGAAAATTCAGCACCGCGGCACCGCATCAGCCCTCCAGCTTGATCCTCTTGATGTCGGGCGGGGGCGAGTCGGTGCTCGTCGGCTTCTCGCGCTTGGTGCCGCTCCCCTGCCCCTCCTCCTTCGCTCGCAGCTGCCCCTCGTCGCCGTCCTCCTTCTTTGCCGCGGCGCCTGGCGCCGCCGTTGCCGGGAGGGCCTCTGCGGGACCGTCCAGGCCGTCCTCGCCCAGGGCACTGAAGAGCACGATGGCTCCCGGAGACAGGCCATACCTGGCATTGTTTGGGGTGGCAGGCATGGCTCAGAGGAAGTTTGTGGGCCGCAACAAGCTGCGTGCGACCAGGAGCGCAGCCAGGCCACGAAGAGGCGGGCCGTCCCCTGGCCCCACCATCAGGCCTCCTCTCATCCTGGCTCCCCCTGGGCTTGTCCCACCGACCCAGAATCATCGTACATCACGCACCTGAGCGCCTGGTCGCCCGTGAGCCGTACTGCCCCCTCGTACCGCCACTCCTGGTGCTCCTCGTCCCACACCTGCTCGAAGGCCTCGCCCGACAGCGCACACGCCGGCTGATCCTCGTCCACGGGCACGCTGTGCCGCTGCTGTGCCGCGGCCGACGCCACCCTGGCGTCGGGCTGCCGGTCGCCTCGCTGCGGCGGCTGGCCCTCCCCGGCCGCCGCCCCCTGCCCCGCCCCGGCGGCGCTGGCCAACCAGACGTCCAGGTCCACATACCAGAGGCGGGAGGCACGGAGGGCGCCGCCGCCGCGCCGCGCGCGGCGCAGGAACTGCACGTCCAGGAACGCAGACTTGGTCTCGGCCGTGCGGGCGAGCAGGCGATGCACGGCGTGCGAAGCGTCGCCCTGCGGTGTGGGCCGGGGGTGGGAGGAAGGGAGACGCGTGTTCGGCGGGGCGAGGGTTGTGTCACAGGTTTGATTGTTTGCAAGCAGATGTGGCCCCGGGCAGAGGCAAGCAGGCTGGCTGGTGGATCTCGAGCTGCCTGTTGGCTGGCGTGTGATGAAGTGTGGCACCTCACAAACCTCCTGCCAAGATTTCAACCAGCCAGTCCCTTGCCACTGTGCCCCCACCCTCTGGACCGACCCCCTGCCCTGGTGTTTCTGCTGCACCCACCCAACACATCCCCCCAGCTCCCGGCCCAAGTGCGCGCCCTGTCAGTCACACCCCTGGCAGCCACGCCCTGTCCGTCTCCTGGTGATCTCCTTGGAATTCTTCCCGTGCCAGGGGCACTGCGCGTCTGCAGGGTGCCACGGGTCGCACACAAGCAGCACACAGATCCCCCCGCCTCCACTCCGTCAGGCAGCCACTAGAAGCACACGCTACCTTGATTATCTCCGAACTAAACTCCAGGGATGGCTCGCGGGCTCGGCCACGCCTGCAGCCTTTGCTCCGCCCAGCACCCCCGCTGCCAGCAGGGAGGAGAGGAGGTCCGGGAGGGGGACGGTGGGACCGCTGCCGGGCCGCGGCGTCGGGTGGCACATCCCCGGCGGCGGCGTCTTGTACCTCGGGACCAGGGGGGCGGGCGCGGCATAATGCTGGTGCTGCGCCGCAGGCGCAGGCTGGTGGCTGTACCGGGGCTGGGTGACGGGGGGGTACTGCGGTGCCGCAGCCGCCGGCAGCGGCGCGGCGTACTGGGCCGCGCCGTGTGCGCCCTGGTACTGCTGCGGAGCCGCCCAGGCCGGGTAGTGCGGCGCGGTCTGCGCGCCCTGCGGTCCGTGGTACTGCATATGGTCCTGGTACTGCATTTCTGCCTGCGCCATCGCCAGCACGTGGTCGGGGAACACCCCCCGCCAGGTTCCCAGCAGCTTCTGCAGCGCGGGGCGCGCCGTCTCGCCCCCCCGCCAGGCCACGGCGAACACCTGGGGGCGCGGTGGGTGTGAGGTCATGGTGGGGTGAGGTAACGTGGTTGGGGATAATTGCGGAGCTATGGGATCCTTGAGCTAAAGAACAGGTCTTGACAGACAGCATGGTGCGAGCCAAACATCTGTTCTTCCAGGCTTCCACCCCTTGACTGCTTCTGCTCTCCTCTTGCAGCACCAAACCACTCCACCCAGATACCACACACCTCTGGGAGGGCTGCGCTGAAGTACGTCTTGTAGGGCTCACCCACAAGCTTGGAGATGGAATCCAAGAGGTACAGGGCAGGCAGCTTGAGGGGTTGGTCGGCCTGTGATGCAGGGGGTTGGGTCATGATGATCGGTGCACAGCTGATGAGTGAATGGTGCACATGACACATCACCATCGCAAGCACTGCACCGTCGCTTGTGTCTCCCCCTGGACGCCGCTCACATGGAGCACCCTGTTGATGATGACTTGCGCCAAGCCTGGCACAGCCTGGGGCTGGTTGTGCATCGCCTCTCGCGCGATCTCCGTGAGAGCCACGATGTTACGTTTCTCCGGGGTGGTGAGGTCGTCCACGAACCCCGCAAACTCCGTGACGAAGCCTTGCGTCGGGTCCATCCCGAGGTCAAGAGGACAACCCACCCCGCGACCTGCACGCGCTGCGGACCACAACTGCACTGCACGACGAAAACCAATCAGCAAGGATGAGCACAGCCGGTCAAGGGTCAGCGCAGGGTCTGGCCACCCCTGGGAAGCTCTCGGTCGGGTCTGATGCTTTGGCTCTTGTCAACCGTCTTACAGGGGTGGTGCAGCGCACGGCAAGCTATGACGTCGTATCGATTATATTTGCGTATACTATGAGACGCTGGGCCGCGTTCATGGTAGGATGCTACCCGTATCCTGCTGGAACGGGTAGCAGCAGGCACAGCATCCAGCTGTGGGTTGAGGGCGCGATACAGGACGACTTTCGTTTGTGTGAGCGATAACCACCGCTCTCTCATAGTTTGCCCCTTATACTGTGTCTTGCAAATCCTTACACTCGCCGTTCAATATGTAGGCCAAGTTATTCCGCTTGTGGCTCCAGGATGACGGAGCACGACATGGCAGAGCGGGAATGGACAAGTCCGGAGCAGACTGGTCCCCCTCCCCTCCCCCCTGACCTCGAACGCCGCGTGTTCTGGCGCGTCATCCCCCTGCTCTTTGCCATCGCATACACCTCTCAGCTCGACAGGACCAACCTCGCCTTCGCGGCCCTGCAGCTGGATGCAGACCTGGGCTTCTCGCGGACTGTGCACGGCCTTGGATCAGGCACGTGCCTGGAGATCAAGATCTGAATCCCACGGCTTCAGCAGCCCTCGCCTGCTAAGTGCACAGTCGTGCACTAATCTGGCATGTGCCTGGCTCCCGATGGCCCTCTGCTGGGCCCAAATTGCCTTGGCCTTGATCCTCATCTTTCCTGGCTCTCCTCCCACAATCTGACGGCCCTCTGCCTAGCCCGCCCTGCCTCGAAGCATTCTCCACAGCCCGCACCTTACACCCCCCCCCTCTCAGGCCTCTTCTTCATCGGCTACCTGGCGCAGCTGCCGGCCAACGTGGCCTGCCTGACCTTTGGCGTGCGTCGCTGGCTGTCCTGCATCCTGCTGGTCTGGGCCGTCGTGGCGGGGCTGGGCGCCGCCATCCGCACCCGCGCCCACTTCCTCGTGCTGCGCTTCCTCCTGGGCCTGGCCGAGGCGGGCACCTTCCCCGCCATCTACTTCCAGCTGGCCCGGTTCTACGACGCAGACGGGCTGGGCCTGGCCTACACCTGGTGGGTGGACATGAGGGGGGGGTTGAGGGGGCCGCCGGCCTTTAGAATGGCGTTGCAATGCTGCTCGGGCGGCCGAGCCTGAGAATAGGATTTTGGACCTTGGCCACAGTCTGCCGTGCCTGCACCGCATCAGGCCCGGCCCACCTCACATTTGTTTGCGGCCGGCCTCAAACCATACCGTGCCTCTCCCCCCTCCTCCCGGCAGGGTGGCGACGGCTACCGCGGTGGCGGGCCTGACCGGCGCCCCGCTGGCGGCCGGCCTGCTGGCCCTGGACGGCCGCGGCGGGCTGCGCGGCTGGCAGTGGCTCTTCCTGTTGGAAGCGGTCCCCGCCTGCCTCCTCTCAGTCGCGGTGGCCCTGGCCCTGCCCTCCCCCGCCGACGCTGGCTGGCTGTCGGCAGGGGAGCGGTCCGCGCTCCGAACGCGGGTGCGCTGGGCACAGGCAGGGCAGGGCGCACTGGAGCTGGTGCCACGCGAGGCTGCCGTCGCCGGGGCGGGGGCACACGACGCCGAGGCCCCGGCGTCCGAGGACCGCGCCGACGAACTGCCCCTGCTGGCGTCGGATGGGGGACCCCGGCGTGGTTCTGCGCCGGTCAAGACTCAGGGCAATGAGGTGGGCGGCGTTGGCGACGAAAACGGCAGTCGGGCGGGCACGGCGGCCGCGCTGCGCGCCGCACTGCGCGACGTGAGGCTGTGGTGGCTGGGGGGCATCCTGCTCCTGGTGGACGCCGCCATGAACGCGGTCAACTTCTGGCTGCCCCAGATCATCCGCGCCTCGCTCAGGGCCGGCATAGTGAATGGGGACGAGGGAGGCGAGGCGGGCGCCGAAGCGACCTCCCGGCAGCAGCGGCTCGACGTCAAGGCATCGCTCCTGGCGGGGCTGCCCTTCGCGGTGGCTGGCGTGGGCATGGTGCTGAATGCGCAGCATGCACAGCGGCGCCACGAGCGGCGGCTGCACACCGCCGTCCCCCTCGTCGCGGCGGCGGGCGCCCTGGGGTGAGTGTGGGATGCGGGGTTTTGGGGGGGCGGGGTGAACGGAAAGTAGGTGTGTTCATGCTTGCGTGAGGGGTTGTGGGTGGAGGTGGGGAACAACTGGCAATGGGCAATCGCGGAACCGCCTGCTGAAGAGTGAGCTGCCTTGCCACGGCAGGGGGCATGGTGCAGGAACAGCTGCGTGGCTAGATTGTGTGGCGACCTTGGTCTGGTGCCAGGGATCCATTGCCACCGCACGCCCAAGTTCTGTCAAGAGTCTCATTGATCGCAAAACCCAGCAATGTTCCCCCCCCTCTGCCTGTTTCCTGCCCTTCTCCCCCCCGAAAAACCCTCCTTTCCCACCTCGACAGGCTACTCCCGCTGACAGCCCTCCTGCTGGGCACGGCTGGCACCGTGGCCGCCCTCACGGCCGGGGCCGCCGGCATCTGGGCGGTCCATGGCCCCTTCTACTCCTGGCCGTCTGCCTTCCTGGACGCGCAGACCGCGTCCCTGGGCTTTGCGCTGGTCAAATCGCTGGGCGCTCTGGGCGGCTTCTGCGGGCCGCTGGTCGTGGGCGTCCTGGCGGATGCCGAGGGCGGCGATTTCGCGGGCGGTGCCTTCTTCCTGGCCGCCGTCGCGCTGCTTGGAGCGGGCATGACTCTGGGTGAGAGAGGCTGCCGGGACTGTCCCTGACTTGGAGTGCATGCGCTAAATGAAAGAGTTGATGTGGTTTGGTCTGTTTCCAAGCATGATAAACAGCATGCCCGGGAAGCACGATGCATGGTAGGGTCTCATGCAACCCTTCGCTCCTTCCTAGGAAGCCCCCTCACACCCATGCTTGCCCCTCCACAGCATTCCGAGGGTCTCAGAGCGAGGCAGAGCCATTGTTGCGATTGCCATCCTGGCTGCGTTGGCGTCAAAGTAATACTGTGGAGCACATATCCTCAGTACCCTTCTGATAATCACACCCGTGAATGGATTCTCCTGAATTTTCGTTACCGACCATGCTCTGCTTGTTTCCCAAACCCTTCTGTCACCCGCCCGAATTTTCCTGCCAGGGCCGTGCTGCTTGACCTACCCTCTTGCACATCGCACCAGCCCATGTAACTGAACTGGTGTGCATCTGTCAGAGGCATGGTGGGGATTGCAAGTAATGGTACACAGACTTGCAGCCAGGCTGACTCAGCACAGCCGCCCGTACGGCCTGACCGGGGTCAAGCTGAGGCCGCGGGCGCTCGCTCCAGGCGACATGCCCTCAGGACCTCCTCAGCCTGCTGCTGATCGGGCACCGACCGGAAATCGGGCTGGATGCCCTCCCGGTCGATGTCTACTCCGGCAGGTGTAAAGTACTTGCCCACCGTGAGCACCAGGCCTGTGTGTGGTAGTTGGCAGGTGGTGCACATTGAGGTACCAGCGGGAACAGGCCAGCCGACTTTCTGAAAAGAGAGCGCCAACGATAACGCGGTGCACCACTGATCTGCACCCCTGAGCGACCATCACCTCCCGGCCATCCTCCCTCATCACAGCAGTGAACACACTCGGTTGATCTTCAAGCACACCGCCTGTCGGCGCCCCTCTGGGATCGCACCTGAGCCGTCGGAGAGTTCATACACCGACTGGATGAGGCCCTTGCCGAAGGTCTGCCGCCCTGCGACGACCGCCCGGCAGTTACCCCTCAGCGCGCCGGCCGCCGCCTCGGCCGCCGAGGCCGTCTGCCCGTCAACCAGCAGCACCAGAGGAAGGGACGTGGCCGGGGGCGAGCGGGCAATGTACGGCGGTCGCGCCCCTGCGCCGCGCCCCTGTGACCTCAGCACGACATCGCCCTCTGCACGGGCGTGAATTGGACGGCGGACAGGTCTTGTTGCGGGGAACAGGTGACCGGTGAGCGGCCGATCACGATCAGCACTGGCTCATGCAGGCGCGAGACGCTGCAGCCTCCCCATTGTGAGGGCAGTAGCCGCTTCTCGGCCATCAAACGCACCGGCGAGGAAGACGCCCCTGTAACCTCAGCACGACATCGCCCTCTGCACGGGCGTGAATTGGACGGCGGACAGGTCTTGTTGCGGGGAACAGGTGACCGGTGAGCGGCCGATCACGATCAGCACTGGCTCATGCAGACGCGCGACGCTGCAGCCTCCCCATTGTGAGGGCAGTAGCCGCTTCTCGGCCATCAAACGCACCGGCGAGGAAGAGGCTGGCGACCTCCACGCCCTCCGTAACGAGGCCGCCCCTGTTGGAGCGCAGGTCCAGGATCACGCGCCCCGTGCCCCCCGCCTCGGCCCGAGCCAGGGCACCGGCGACGTCCGCGGCTGCGCGGGCGTCGAAGCGGCGCAGCTTGACGACTGCATCGCCGCTGGGCGCCCGGGGCAGCTCCAGGCTGACCGGGGATGAGGAGGGGCCGGCCCTCTTGCCGGGGAGGGAGACATCGTATACAGACCCGTCCAGCCTCCGTGCCTGTGCTGGGCAGCGCAGCAGGGCAGAGGGAGGCTTGCCGAGGGTGCGGAACAAGTTGATAGCACATCGATGTAGGGTGGACACGCAATGGGCCCCTTGCAAGGCCGGGCCAGCTGCAAGCAGGCCTGCTCCCTGGGGTCCCCCTTGTCTTCCTCATGCATCAACCGACAGGTATTCACCTACCTTGAGAGCGAGGTCGGCGCCGTCGGCGCTGCCCCCCTGCAGCAGCGATGCCACTTTGAAGGGCGGGGAGGCGCAGACGCTGTGGCCAGCCACCTCCAGGAGCTCGTCACCCTGGGGGGTGAGGGGGGATGTGTGGCATGGGTGCATTGCCAAGCACCCTTGGGGTGTAGCCTCTCCGCGTCATGGGGCAGAGCCAGAGCGAGCAGTCCGTGAGACAGTTCTCCGGAATCACCGCCCCCACAAGGTCCGCCTCCCGCAAACCCACTGCCAAACAGATCCAGTAGGGCCATGCACCGTGCAGGCGCCTCCTTCGCTCACCAGGCGCACCCCGGCCTGCTCGGCGAGGGAGCCCTGGATGACGCCCAGCACCCACACCCCCGCGCTCGGCCGCCGGCCGTCCTCCAGCCTGGCAGCGTTGGTCCGCTCCAGGTACTCCTCGCCGGTCACCAGGTTCAGCCCCACGCCGCTCACATCGTACTTGAGCATGCCGGCAAAGGCTGAGCGCGAAATGAGGCGGCTGTAGGGGTCGTGCAGCTGCGCCAGGGCTGCCCTCACCACGCTGGGGTCAGGAGGAAAGAGCGGAAGGGGGCCATGGGGTGGAGGAGTAGGGGCAGCATCTGGCCAGCTTCCCTCACCAGGCCACGATGGGTTGTGTTATGCTCGGGTGCCATTACACCCTGGAGACAACGGCCAGCAGACACTCTAATGAGCGCCAAGCACGAGCCTCACAGCGACGCAGCGCACTGCACCAGGCACTGCCCAGTCAACCTGTGTGCCTCCTCGAGGTCAGCGATGCCGGCGTGCGCCGCCCGCTGCGCCTGCCAGTCCTCCCTGCGGAAACCGCGGCTGCGAACGTCCTCGAAGTTGGTCCCCACCACCTCCCAGACCTCGTCCAGGAAGGTCTGTGCTGCCTGCTAGGATGAGAGAGCGGGAGAAGTTGTCTGAGATGTGGGTTGATGAAGGCATCTGTCTATACGCAAGCTTGCAAGGACCTTAAGTGGATGTGCTGGACCTCCGTTTCAGGCCACTCACAGGAAAGTGTTGCCATTGTCAGACCACTAAAGACATGCTTGAACCCAGAACAGAGGACACCCACAGCATCAAATCTCCCTGAATTATCGAATGCAAGCCAGCAAGCCGCACCTGAGCCTCCCGGGCATTCTTGGTGACCAGGGAGGCCCTGAAGCGGGAGGTCACCCCCCCCACCGCCGCCTCAAGGCCCTGAGCAGATTCCACCAGCCGGTCCTCGAGCAGCGAGCTCCAGTTCGCGGCATGGCACACGCGCACTCCCCCCAGGCTCAGCGTCGAGGTGATGAAGAGGGCCGCAACACCTCGAAGTGGGCCTGCCCACCAAGGGGCCACACCCCTCCCAGCATCCTGAGAGAGCGAATCAGGCCCTGCATATGTTCGCTCCGGGCTCCTACGCAAGCCCTGAAGTGCTTTCTTCCCTATATCCACCGACCATGCCGACAGTCGCGGCTGGGAGGTGGGTAGGCCATGTCGTGGTGGTCCTGTCACAGGTCGACCGTGCGGGGCCATGCGCACCGTTTACGGGCCCTGAGCATGCTAGGTGTGAGAAGATGGGAGGTTCTCCACCATATATACGGGTGCAGGGATTGGCTCGACCCCTTACTGCGTCGATCGTTTCTGAGGTCGAGCCTTATCCCGGGCCGTTCGATCTCGCCGCCACCATGGTGAGTGGGAACAGGAGCACCCTCCCCCTCATTCTTGCGCCAGCATCCTGAGCATGGCAACGTCCCGTGCTCCAGCCTGGTCCCCCTGTGCAATTTCGGTCAAAAGTCTTATTACTCTGGTCACATCCAATCAGAAGGAACAGCAGCAGTGCCAGTCTGTGCTGGCTGTCGAGTCCGACCAGCAATCGAGTCGCAGGGAGAGGTATAGTACAGTGAACTTGGGCCATGGATGCCAAAATATCAGTATCGGTCGAGAAATGCAGCAGGCGGGCATCGACGTATGGAGTGATGGGGGAAGTGGGTGGGGCGGAACTTGCACAGATGCTGGAGAGGCAGGGTCGGTCGCAGCCGCGGCTGGCTGGGTGGGCAGATGGGGGGCTCGGTCAGAGGGTCAGGGACCGTCTGAAGGCCCCCCGCCCGACACCGTGCGCCGGGCGCTATTCCACAGTACATGGAGGAAAGCAATGCTGAAAGAATAGTCTGGGTACGGTCCACCCCCTCACCCGCTGACGCCGCACCGACCCCAGGCGGGCAGGGGCCGGGGCAGCGGCGTGTGCAGCTGGGTCGGGGGCGGCAGCGCCTGGCCCCCCCGGCTCTGGCCACTGGACGTGATCTCCTGGGAGTGCATGCTGTGCGACAGCTGCTGGCAGGCCGCCGCAATGGCGGACAGGCCGGAGGAGTGCCGCGCGTCGTCCCAGGACCTCGCGCCCAGACCGGTGGGCGCGGCGGAGTCGAGCGGCGCGGTCTCCGCCTGCTCGGGCCGGACCTTGCCGCGGGCGGCGTCCGCGCCCAGCTCACGCAGCATCCTGCGCCCCTGGCTCCAGGGGCCCTGGGTCGAGGGCTTGGCGGGGAGGGGCGAGACCCGGTCGGCGCTGTCGCCACGGCCGGAGCGGTAGCGCCGGGGCACCTCGCCCCGGCCATCCAGCACCACGACGTCGTCGCTGCTCGACCCTGGGTGGGAGTCTGCGTCCTCGCTCCCCGCCGCCACCTCCTGCCCGAGGGCCATGCCGGGCAGGGGGCGCTGGGCCTTGGAGAAGGCCGACACGGGGACGGCGCCGCTGTTGTGGCCACGCAGGCCCGGTGCGGAAGCCTGGGGGGAGAGGAGCGCGAGAGTCGGTTGGGGGATGGCATCTCTTGGGATCTTCAGGATTCCTACATGAGACATTGCGCGGTCACTGGCAACTGCTTTCATGCCCATGCACAGCATCGATGACTGAAGAGAACCAAAGTGGCTGCATGCGAGAGGCCAGACACCACAGAGTTCGAAGGACTCTCGAGCCAGCATCTGGCCCAGCCAACACTCAGGACTCACCTCCACCAGTCCTCCAATCGAGGCAGCCAGCAGTCTGTAGAGATCCTGCTCCCAAGCAGCCCCACTGCAGGGAATTGCAAGGGTACGGGGAGGATGGGGCACTGAAACCTCATGCCTCGCCTGCCTGCCTGCACGATGTGCATGTCTGCCACCCAGCACCCACCTCCTGTGCGGCAGCTGGTGTCCAGGGATTCCAGGCACCACAGGCAGCGCATCCCGCACCCGGCCCTGCTCATCATCCAGGCTGGCTTGCAGGGCGGCTGTGCGGCCCAGCAGGCGGATGGTGGAGGGTGCCAGGCCACAGAAGGGGTAGTTCTGGCAAGGGTTTGCCTGTTGGATGAAGAAGAGGGAGCATGCCTGGGTAAGAGAAGCTACACACCGGAGGGCAATGCAATACTGGGACCGCACACGGCTGTTGCACTGGTGGCGGCCTCGTTCCCACAGGACAGTGACATGCAGAGGATACCCTCTGCTCACCTCCAGCTGGGCCTCCACCCCGGGGGCCGCTCTGGCCAGCACCGAGAGGATGGCCTCCGTGGCAGCTGCAGAGGCGGCCGCCACCACTGTTGACAGCGTCATCTGGGGTGGCGCAGCGCTCTGGGCGGACTTTCTGGCCTCGCTGTTTGTGAGCGCCAGCAACACGGAGTGCGCCCCATCGCCAGCGTGGTCCTCGACATCCTGCATCGAGGAGTCACTGCCCCGACGCCTGGTCTTGGCGGGAGGGACCTTGAAGTCCTCGGGCAGCCAATCTGCACAGATTGCGATGGTGGGGATTCAGCTTCCAGTTCGATCCATGACCGAACACTGCCCATCACCAGAACGCTTTCTGCAGGCATGTGCACAACGATGCCCCAGGCACATGGAGGCCCCGCCCCGAGCCGGACCCTTCCCACACCTTGGCTGCAGGAGGACGACAGGGAGTCCCCTCCCCTTTTTGCCACCTTAGCAAAGAACTTTTGTGCATGGGATCGGATCTGGATTGCAGACTTGGTGCCCACATGCCCTGCATGAAGGGTGAATAAGGAACGGGCCATCATCAGGCTGGCGCTCCCAATAGGACACCAGTGTACAGAAGTGGAGCCTTAGATAGCCCTCAAGGAGTCATTTTTGCTGATACATGGATTGTATGACCTCCATGCATACCCTCCCCCCCAGCCCTGAGCCTCACCCTGTATCTTCTGCCACTGCCGGCCGTAGAGGCGCACACCGTCCACGAAGCGATCATGCTCCTCATCCGTCCACCTCTCGCGTGGCCTGGTGATGGTGTACGCCTTCCGTGCCTGTAGGTAGAGGGCGGGGCTGGGGATCGACTCCAGGGTCCGGGACCCTCCGAGATTCGTCGGTCCTCACCCCCGGCCGGGCAGCGCGAGGCAGCCCGCCGTACCTTGATGGGGTAGCTCCCCGGAAGGCTAGGCTCGCTTGTCATCGTGAGCAAGGGACGGTTGGTGGAATGTGGCGAGGTACAGTTTTGTTCCGAGGCCATGGACATGCCGGGTGACCCCGCGAATACTCGGGTTCCTCGGCGGGATGCGACCGACTCGAGCGACCTCTGGGAAGTGGGACCCGCTAAGGACCCTAAACAGCTCTGTGCTACCGGTTTCCGGGTACTGAAGTGCCCAACTCGTCTCGCAGAGTGTTGATACTGACCCTTTGTCGGAGTCCGGGTGGCCACAGCTTTAGATTGACTGAGCGACATGGGCCGTGCAGATATCCCGGGGTCGAATCCCTCGCGCACTCCCAGCCAAGTGTTGCCCCCTCCCTCGTGGGTGGCAGCCCCTCCGCCAGGCATGTCGCGCCGTGGCGCAGTGCGCCCCTTTATGGCCACCATTCACCTCCGATCCCCGACCCAACGACAGGAAGGCGCTTTGAGAGAGTTTGTCACGGTACTTGGTGGCGGACAGGCTTTGCAGCAGCGCAGGCTGGGAAGCCTGGAGCTTCACAGTCCAAGAATGGGCAGGAAGCTGCTGGCTCAAACAGGCACCGCCCCCTCACCTGCGGCAGGTGCCCCCACGGCCAGCGCGCGAGGGGTGCCGCCATGGCGTTTGACGCCCTCTGGCTGTTCCAGGTTGGGGGGGGCCCTGGCCTCCAGGTCCTGCAGCGCCTGCCCTATCCTCGCAGTGAGCTCCCGCCACACCTGCATCATCACCGGTGAGATACCTAAATTCCTATCTCTTGCCATGCCACTGTGAGTCAGGTGTATTGCGCGTTCGTAGCGCGGCAATGGCCAGCATACTCTGGGCGGCAGTCCCCGCAGCTGCTGCTCATGCCCGCTGACTCGGTGATGCCTTCGGTCCCACGACCACACCTCCAAAGGAATTCCTCTGCCAAACTCAACAGCACAGGGCCAGGGCCGCCCCACCCCAGGCCCCCACCTGCTTCTGGTCATGGCCAGGGCGGTTGCAGCGGCATGAGATGTCCTCCAGCTCGACAGGCTGCCCCACGAGGATGTGCACCCACCGCCCTACAGATGGGACGACGGCCCGATATGGCATCACCTCCCCCATCCCGGTGTGGTAGAAGGGCAGGACAGTGGGCTGCCTGCGTCGCGGGGCGTTGCGGAGGTGAGGTTGTGATGCGAGCAGTGGGGCGCCGTGCTTCGTTCGTGCTTTCTCATCAGCTAGTTATGAGGGTCGCCATGTTCTCGTAACCCTCGCTAGGCCCCTCCGCACGCTCACGGCACCCCGTACCCCCCACCAGCGCTCTCTGCAATAGGTCACTCCCAGTCCAATCCATCACCGCCCGACAGACCACACCCCGCGCCCACCGACCTGCCGCCGCTATGCCGCATGGCGTCGCAGATGACCTTGCCCACCCCCCAGCGCAGCGTGCCCAGCGTGCCGGTGTAGTTCACCCGGCTCTCGGGGAAGAGGTGCAGCCAGTCGCCCCGGCCCACCGCCCGGCCCATGCTCCGCAGGCTGAGCTGGTCCAGGCCCACGCCGCGCTCGATGGGCAGCGTCTTCCCGGATTGGAAGAACTGGCTGCGGGGTGGGATTGGGGGAATGGGTGTGGTGTGGTGCGTTTATGTGTGTGCAGGTGAGGTGTGGGGGCCATTCCCGCGTTGTCCAGTGGCGCCAGCTGGGTCTGCACCCCGACCGAGGCGACTCACCCCAGCAGTGCATTCTTGTAGCAGAGTTCCTTGGCGCAGAGGGTCCAGCGCATGCCGCCGTGTTGATGCTCGGTGAAGAAGTAGCTCAGGGGCAGGATGGCGGAGAACAGGGCGGGGTCGTCGAGTGTGCTGAATGGCATTGGCAGGGATTCAGTAGGGGGCAGCATGAGGGGGGAGGCAGCAAGGGTTGGGGGGTACCTGCTGCTCAGCGTGCACTGCACACGCAGTTGGAAACAGAGGGTTGCCATGGGAGGTCAGTCAGCCGATGTGAACCCCACAGCCCAATTTGTCGGGCAGCATTCTCTGATGCCGTCAGCCTGCCACTCATGGTGTTCGACTGCAAAGGCGCATCGGCACGCATGGTTTCCCAGCTTGACAGGCTTCAGAGCCAAACAGAACCATGAAGCCAATGCGTGTGCCCCACTACCTGGTGTGATTGCTCACGGTGATCAGCCCTAGCCCTGGTGGGCGCTCCATGGTGTGCTGCAGGAAGTCGGCCCGTCCCTCAAAGGTGATGGTATTTCCCACGCTGAGGAGCATCTTGCAGCCCCATGCCACGACTCCTAGGGTCAGGCTGCGGCCCAGGCTGCCCCAGGGTGCACGCAGGAGCTGCTCCTCGCTCAGCCGCTCTTCCGGCTCGAGGAGGGAGTCCATCGGGGGAGGGGCCCCACGGTGATGCGACTGTTGCTATGTGCCTCGGCTTTCTTGGAATAAATCAATTCTGTATCGAGCGCCCAGGTCTCTATTATTGGCCGGGTTAGGGTGCACGAGCACTTCCTGGCACCCGAAGGTCGAGATCAAAGAGCTCTTCAACACCGCAATGCCGTATAATCGGTGAGTTCCTTCTAAGCCAAGTAGGATTTGAAGCTACCGTTCACTGTACCCAGTCTTTGTGTCGAGACTGTAAACGGTTCATGGCCACGTGCTGTGTTTGCGCCGTCTGCCCCGAGGGCAGACGATCCGATCAGGAGCTTGGGCAGGTAGGAAACAGCTGCTGACGAAAGTAATTCGACAAGGTAGGAGTACAGTGATACAGCATGTGTCCCTGGTCGCATCACAGGTCAGCAACTCAGACTCCAGCCCCCCACACACATGGGATAAAGGTGCGCCCTGCACTCCTGCAAATGTTGATTGAATATCTCAAGGTGATGTCAGAGCATATCATTGTCCCTCCTCATTCAATGCTGCTATGGAAAATTAGGTGCATGTCAGGTGGTTGGAAAATGACTCTTAGCAACCCCGACTCGAAGGGCGCCTGCTGGGTGCGTGCTGCGACACCCCCCAGTGTGATCGCTCGCATCCAACAGACGGGTGAAATTTGGGACAAACAACACAAGAGCAAATCGAAGTGGCAGCTTCAATGCTGCGTCTGGGGTTGGGTCTGCGTGCCACCCGCTGCGTCCCAGCCAGAGTAGCCAGTGTTAGAACCATGGTGAGGCGTGGAACCGGAAGCGCGACGCCGATGTCGGGCTGAGTACCATGCCAGTCATTCCACCCTCATAACGCACATCCTGATGCAGGCAAGCGCGGCGTCAGGGAACACCTACCATGTCCTTCAGTACAAGTTTGTTCCGGACATGGAGACCAAGCGGGCCCCCGTACGCCAGGCGCATCTCGACTACCTGAAGAACCTCGTGAGCGGATTGCAAATTGGGCAGTTGCTGGCTTGTTAGGGATAGTATACCGTGCGGCGTATCGAAGTGGCGCAGCAGATGGATGCTTGACCATCCCGGTCATCACCCTGCTGCAGGCTGATGAGAAGAAGCTGGCAATGGGGGGAGCGCTGGTGGAGCCTCTGGACTCCTCCCTCCTCATCTTCCGCAACATCAGCAAGGAGGTAGGCGGTGTGCATGTGCATGGGAGGTGATGCTGGACCTGTGTGACACAACCACCAGGATGAATGCATGTGGCTGCCCAGCCGCATGAGCATCATCCACCACTGGACAAACATGCACCGCTTCCTTGTCGCAGGAGGTGGAGAAGATCGCGGTGGAGGACCCTTATACCAAGGGTGACCTCGTTGCCGAATGGTGAGGGGTTTTGTGAGAAGGGTGTGGAGTGTTCTTGCTCTTGCCAATGGGTGGGACGGGCGGGGATGCGCTTCATGACCGCCTCGCTCGCAGGCGACAACATGGGCGCCCTGGTCACCACACCATTGACCTCCTCGCACACACACTTTGCAGGACTGTGCGGCGGTATATGCGCGTCGTGGGGGACGCAGAGTGATGCGCCCGTTGCGTGAATACTGGTGACGGCTGCCGCCCGATGGAAGCAGGGTGTCTGCTTGCCGCACCCTCAGTCCTCCCGCCGCAGCTGCTGAGCCGTTTGCCTCATGCCTGTCCGCATATCACTCCGACTCTGTCTCCATGTCCGTGCTGTCGACAGGCTGCCTGACTTCCGCGCGGTCAGCAGCGGTGTTCACCCAGCACCACGCAGGTCGTGACACAGCAACCCCTTTTTGCCACCTTTCCAGAGTCAGGTCCTTCACTCCCAGGCGGCGTCCAGGGCAGCCCGCCGCGCCTGCTCCGCCACGCGTGCCTCGCGCTTCGCGCGCCCCGCGTCCCGCAGTGCCTCCTCCTTCCCCTTGTCCCGCAGATTCATGGACAGCGCGGCGCCTATCAGTCGCCGAGCCACGGCTGCACTGGCCGCGGGCCGGGGTCGGGGCGGCGCGAGCTCCGCCGGCGGCAGGGCCCTGGCGCCGGCGGAGGCCTCCTCCCAGCCACGCAGCGTGCCCAGCGTGGGCCCTGACGACGCCGCCGCTGCCCGCTGCGCCGCCCTGGCGGCGGGCGGGTCGAAGAACACGAGCACGGCTGCCGTCTCGTCCACCCATCGAACGTAGGGCGGGACGGCGGGCTTCAGCCGCTCCGCCCACTCCTCCACGTCGCGCTGCCGGATGGCAGGCGACAGGCCGGTGAGCTCAAGGCAGTGCGCGCTTGAGAAAGGGGGAGTGCCGGCCGCTGCAGAGGGGCCGGCCGCCGTGGAGCGAGGATCAAGTGGCGGAGGTCCTGCACCACGGCCCCGCTCGTCTCGCGCCAGCAGGGCGGGTTCTGGTGCGCCCGAGGTGGTGGGCGGAGAGGGCTGCGCAGGCGGGGGGGGGGACGGGCGGCCTCCCAGTCGTCCTCCCAGTCACAGGCACCCTGGGGAGAGCCTGGCTGATCAATTTTAGGTTTTGAGACGGGATCCTGCACATCGGTGTGGGAGAGGGGATCACGCTGTGGTCCTTGCAGGGAGGAATTCAGAGCTAATGGCCCCCAATCTCACCCCACTATGCAATTAAAAGTATAGGTGCTTTCACAGCACCCCACGACCGAACACTCACATCTTTCAATGCTAGGTTGTTCAACTCGTTTATCACACTGTTTTCTTCGTCAAGTCCAGGGGCCGGTGGGGACCCCGCCGGGTTCGACATGGGCGTGTGCGAGAGCTCGGCCAGAAGCGCAGGTTGCTGGAGGTGAACTTTAAAAAGGGCAAAAGAAGTATTGACTGACACCACATTGTAGATTTCGTACATATTTATTCCCCACCCATCACCACCACCATCGCGCGCGCGCGCTGCCCCGGGAGTTGTGATTTGCATACCGACGACCGGTAAAGATTCAAAATTATTTACTCAGGGAATGCGAGCTTGCCTTCAGACCAGAAAGGTACAGTGCTTCTCCCGTAGACCCTACACAGCTACATCTTCCATCATATGGCATGGACTTGGCTCGTCAGATGCTGTAAAGAGCAGAAATCCTGGACTTTGCAGGCTTCAACCACCTCGGCCGTCCACACATTGATGTTTTTGTTGTTGGACTCACTGTGCAACTCGACCATCCACTTCCAGGCAGGATCTGCCGCCGCTGGAACCTCTGACTCCTGTATGCCGTCGCCACATGTCTGCTCCCACACCGAGAGCAATCTGCAGGAGTGACGGCAGTATTGCTCTGGCCTAAGGGGGAGAGTTCACATCGCCCAGACGGCACACTCATGCTGGATCCCAAGCACGCATGGTGTCAGCTGCCATGGTGCTGCAGAGGTGAAGAGC